AAAAAAGTGCAAATAAAAATAAGGGTTCATTTAGACATGAAATTATAATTAGTTCTTAATTATACTTCTACATCTGACGTACTCAAATAATTAAAATATAAAATTATAATTTTAAGTTAAAATCAAATTTTATAATATGGACGTAAGAACTAATTTAGTATACAATATTGTTCTTAAACTATTTAATCTAATTAGCATAAATCTTATCAAAAATCACTTTTACTTGTCATTTTCTATAGCTTCATTTATAAGGGGTGAGTATTTGATGTATTCTTTAGTTAGGCCAATAATTACTACTAGAACTTCACCAAAACGTCTTCTAGTAGTTTTTATGGAACAAATATAAATGTGTTCAAAAATTCTCATTTTAAAGCTGTGAGCTAACATAAGTAAAAATATTGCAACATATTCTTTTACGCTTATATGATAAGAAATAAATATAATATAATTTTTTTCACGTAAAATATTACAAAGTAAAAAAAAATTGTTCAGTACAACACAATTGATTATAACAATTTTCATTAGTCCCATAATATAATTGTCTTAAGAGTATACATTTTTATTTGTTTTTATCACTCTCTTTTATTGGCTCTTTAAGTATATCTTTTTGTTTATATCACAAAGCTATTGTGATCATAGTAACAACTGTTGTATCTAGCATTAGTTTTTTTTTTCCTTCTTGTACCTTCAACCGTTCTTAAACTAATTTCTAATATTTCTTCCAACATTTAATAATCTAAAAAAAATATCAAACAATTTATTATATAATTAATATATACAATATAATTTGTGTCAAGTGATGCAGAAAAATAATATAATATAGTTCATGGCAAGAGTAGAAAGTAAAAAGTAATAATATAATATATTAAATATGTAATAAATATAAAAAAAATGTTAAAGAATAATAAGAAAAATAAGAGAAATAGATAATAACTACTTTTATTAATAAAAATTAACATAAAACAGAGAAGAAAATAATAAAAAAATAGAATTAATAATCAATTCAAAGATGAAATTAAGAAAATATAAAAATACAGAAATAAAATTAAAAAAAGAAAGAAAGATGCATAAAGAAAAAAGATAACAAAAGAAGAGTTAGAATAAAAAAGTAAAAATAAAAATTTTATAGAATTAATCCATAAAATTATAATAATAATTATAATTAAAATTTTAAAATATAATTATAATTTCAATATTTAGTTTCATCCTGAATTTTGTAAACTAAACAAATATTCAAGTAATCTTTATTTTATATAGAACACGTCAATTTATAGTTTTTTTTCATACATGTTTAATTGCAATGAAAAAAACTTTCTCTACAATTGGAATGGGAAGCATGAACCATTTGAGAGGATTGGTTACATCACCTTGAAAAGAGAAAAAGAAAAAAAAGAAGGAGAGGAATTTGAATGTAGATAAAAATGTATAGGATGTGAATTTGGTGAATGAACAGAGCAAAGAAGTACAGCTGAAGTGACTAAAAATATTGTGAGTAAGAAAGGAAGAAATTGTTAAATATAATAATATCGGCAGTGACAGTTAAATTAATTTCTAAAATTATATAAAATAATATTATCCTGACTCGTTGTTATAATAATTATAATAGAATATCTAATATCACATGAAATCGAGAATTAGTAGGTTCTTTTAAATTTTTTAAAACTAATTTACTGAACACTCTTGATCTCAAAGATTATATGAAAGTTTACTTTAAATAATTTATTGTTGATGACCATAAGTTGCTTTATAGTTTTAATTAAGAGTTTGTTATATTTTATATTATTTTATAAAGTAAACATCTAAAATATGTTTATTATTTTCAAAATATAAATTTAATTTATAAATAAAAAAATACTTTTTAAAGCAAAGACATGGCAAAGCTCAGCAATGTGCCCACACGGATTGAATAACATCAATAAATCATTGTTGCTTATCTCAACAAGAACTGTTTAGGCTTAAATATATTGTTAGTTTTTGACATTTTAATAAAATTTATATTTAGTTATTAGTATATCACATTAATAATAAAAATTATAAAAAAGTTTATGCAAAAATGTAAGAAAAAATATTTATTTAGAATGTTTAAAATAAAAAATAAAAAATATATTGAAATCAAACTAATATATCTTTGCTGAAGAGTCATTGTTTTTATTTTTATTTTTTAAAACAAAAAATTACATAAAATAGGAAATAAAAGTATATATATCTTTAATTTAAATTAAAAAATTAAATGTATTTTTAATTTCAATGAAACTTTTAAATTTTTATATTAAATCCTGATTAATAAAAATAGTGTGTTTATAATTTATCATGGACTAAAAATATATAAATTTTTTATATTTTTTAAGAAATAAAATATAGTTTATTAAAGATTAAATTAAAATATAATAATTTTATAAAGAACATATTTAATATTGAAATAAAATATTTCTTTATCTGTATTTTCCAGTGTGTTCTGAACCAAGCAAATAGCCATCGATGGATGACGAATTCGTTGAATTGACATCACTTTTGGAGTAATTTTCTAGGCACAGGAATGTTAATAAATGCGTTTGTGACACAACGATGGCAACAAAAAGCAAGACTTAGGGAGGAACCTATGCTTATGTTTGCTTTATCTCTATTTTGACTTTCTCCTCTGTTTTCTTGTTTGAGAGGTTACTCTCAACACATGTTAGGAATCTAACACTAATCAAATATGAGAAAGGAAATAAGTTGTTGTTTAAATTAATAATATAAAATTATTTCAATAATAATAGATACAAAGTCTCTTTTAATTGGTGTTTTGATGCCTACAATTGATTTTGTCCTCGGTAATGAATGGTTGTGATTTTATTTCGCTTTCAATGGTAGCAAAAATTATTAATTCCAACAATTCTAGTAGTTTCACAATCAGACTCGGTTTGTTGATTAAACAATAATTATATTTCATTTTATTAAAATTAAAAAATTAACGGTTGAGATTATACTAAAATTTAAATATTTATATATCAAAATTTGAAGTTGGTTATAATTTTAATTGTTAATTTTTAAATAAATTGATAGCTATTAATGTGCTTATTTTTTAAAATGGTACCATAATCATTTGTATGTAACAGAGGAAAGAATTTCCACATACTTATTTTGTTTGAATTAATTTTTAAAAAATTTCATATTAAAATGATATAAAAGGCACAAAATTATTTGTGACGATTAGTTTTATGATTGATAATAATTAAATAATAGAGATAAAATAAGACAGGAAAAATATATTAAAAATTTCAAAATTTATCTATAAAAGTATTTTTTTTAACTTATACAAGATATTTTTTATTACTTTAACTATTTTGTTAAAACATTAATAGGCTTGACAAAAGAATTTATAGTCTTAAAAAAGTTTTTCCTTTTTAAATGGGCGTATTTGAATTATTTGTAAAAAGGTTTTTTAATAATTAATTATATATATAATTTAATTTTTTTAAAATCAGTTATATAACTATACAAAGTTTATGTTTAGAAGTACTAGATAAAAAAAATATAAGATAAAATATTTTATTTGAATTGTATGTAAAAATAATTATTTATTATCTAATTATTAAAAAATTATGTTAATTGATTTTTTATTTCAAACAATCATTAGGTAAAGATAAAATAATAAAATACAAAATAATATAATAAAATTTAATTATAAGTTATTGAGCCTATAATTTTTCAATGAGGTTAAAGAGGATAACTTAATAAAATTCAAACAGTGATCATTACTGAGTTGGTATGTGACGTTGACAGTGGTGAGGGGTACAGAGACTTGCACACGAAGATGAAAAATTATTATCAATGTCTAAATCTTTTTTATAAAACTTAATAATTATTAAATAAAAAATTAAATATTTTTTAATTTATATTATATTAATAAAGTATTTATAAAAATTATATACATAATTATTTACATCAAATTGTGAAAAGACACACTAGAAATCCAGACTCAAAATTATCAGGTCTATTGGATTAAAAATTAATCATACTTAATTGAGAGTTTATTCTTAATATGACAACAATAAATGAACAGGCTTTAGATTAATTAATTAATTATTTTTTGTAACTTTGCAAGATTATATAAACTAAAAAGTTATATATTTAGTAATTTTAATACACTAAATTACATTAAATATTATAACTTTTAATAAAAATTTATTATATATAATTTTTAATTTTGTATAATATTCTACATGCTAAAAAATGATTTGTTTAATATGTACAATATTGTACATAATTTAAAAATAAAATTTTATTAAAAAATTTATTTTTAATATAATTAAATACATTAAAATTATTAAATATTATATTTTTAATAAAAATATATATTACTTTTATCTTATATAATGTTATATTTTGTGGTTGATATTTATAATTGACAGGCAATAAAACTTTATTCAAAGTTTGGGCCATATAAGCTGATGGGCCAGTTAACTGAAAAGGAAAGATGGGCCGGTGTGGACCGAAATAAAAAAGGTGAAAAGGGCGAAATATTTTGAAATTGGCATTGAAATGTATTTTCCCACGCAACATTGCGCGCCTCTTTCTTTGGGAATTGAGAATTCAAAGTTCAAACAAAACGCATACCACATTTAATGACATCATATGAATACGCATCGCATTCTACAAGTATTCTATTCTTCTTGATCTAATCCTCACACCTCAACATCCATATTAACCTAACCTTTCTTTCTCCGCCTTCAAGTTTTCAACAACTCTCTATCACTCACAGGTACCTCTCTGTTATAGATGATTCTGTCGATGGAGTCTCTTCTTTGCAAACAACAAACATGTCGCCAGTTTTTTTTTTTTTCACAGTTTGGAACAAAAATTCTATTATTTTGTCACTGGGCAGATTGTTCCAAATATATATATTTGACATACTTCTGCTTATTGTTTCATATATTTCAGTAAAATGTTTTAATAATATTTTTTTCCCCGTTTCTTCTATTTCTCTAAAAACAATTGGTTGGAATTTGTAGGTAAGCAATGGCGGGGAAAGGAGGTAAGGGGCTTCTTGCAGCAAAAACCACCGCAGCTAACAAGGACAAAGAGAAGGACAAGAAAAGACCTATTTCTCGTTCTTCCCGTGCTGGAATCCAGGTATTGTTTTTCTTGAAAACAAATGCTATCTCATGTTGTCCCAAACACAATTTAACTAGAAAGTAAAAATGTTTTCTTGTTTGGGTAGCGAAGATTTTTTCCATGAGTTACTTGTTTTCTGTTTAACATATTTTTTAACTGAATTATTGATTTGTTGTACTTTTTAGGCAGTTCTTTTTGTATGATTTGGAATTGGTATACAAATGTTTTCTCCACATTCAAGGTTTACTACTAGAGTTTTTTTTATAAATAATTCTGAAATATACTTTTTTTATTTTATTTTGTGTGCGCTTGTATATGAAAAACAATTATATATTTTCAGTACTTTGCAATTAGATTTGCAATTCGAATGAGCCATTTTCTCTATCTCTCTCTTTATAAAAAAACTGTTTTATTAATTTTATATCTAACAATATCAATTTAGGCATTTATATATAATAAATTTTATAAAAGCAAAATATATTAATTATACCTGATATATGTACCTGCAATAAACATATTTTAAAACAAAGTTTTATTATTATAAGGTTTGCTAATTTTTATTTTTATTTTTTTTGTTTTTTGTGGTATATAGTTTCCTGTGGGCCGTATCCATAGGCAGCTTAAACAAAGGGTTCAGGCGAATGGACGTGTTGGAGCCACTGCTGCTGTGTACTTGGCTTCCATTCATGAGTACCTGACAGCAGAAGTTCTTGAATTGGCTGGGAATGCAAGCAAGGATCTGAAGGTGAAGAGGATAACACCAAGGCATTTGCAGCTGGCTATCCGCGGAGATGAGGAGCTTGACACCCTTATTAAAGGGACTATTGCTGGTGGTGGTGTCATCCCTCATATTCACAAGTCTTTGATCAACAAAACCTCCAAGGAATAAGCTTAACCATCATCATTTCATTTTGCTGTTTACTCAAACTGAGTTGTGTTTATTGTTAATTCATCACAGTAGGCTAGTATGATTTCTTAGACAGTTTATTTACAACTGAGATGTTAGTGTGTAAATGGGGTTGCTAGACAATGCTTTCTTTTAGCTGTTTTAATTGGTCTGTCAACGCTGTTCGATTTCTAGACAATGCTTTCTTTTAGATACAACCCGTGATCTGTGATTTATCTCGATGTTTTCATTTAATATTTGCAATTGCTTGGTTACTGGCTGATTAGGGTATATAGACTTGGACACGAAGATGAAAAATAAAGGAAATAAATGATAGATTGCCGACTGATGTCTTTGTAATGTAAAAAGTTTAAGAACTAATATATACTTTAGCATATGATGGATTTGTCCTTGAAATTCAGGTAATTTTACAGTGCCTTAATAAAGATGCTAACTATAAAAAATATTGTTCATACTGAGGTGTTTTATTAGTGAACAAGATAGTTCCCACTAATTATCTGACTATTGTTCATACTAGATCCAGATATTTTGTTGTTAAAAAGCAGAAGGGTGTCATTTTTTGGGAGTAAAAATTTTTGAGGGAGGAGATGGCGATCAATTTCAAGTCAGAGAGCACTTAGAAAAACTTAAATTTATCTTAGTCTAATTTGAGGCTACTTTATTCTATTTGACTGAGTCTGAGGTCTTAGAATTGAAGGTGTGCTTGTTAATTTTGCTTTTGAATATTAACGATAACATTTATTGGTATTTTATACTATAATACAAATTTTATAGAAAATATTTATTGCAATACTTATATATCTATTATTACTTTAAATTTTTTGAAAAATTAAATACGAAATATTTTTATATTGATATAGTTATATGAAAAGAATATTTTAAATAAAATCACTTAAAAGGAATGATAAGAAATATATGGATGCAGCAATAGGTACAAATATATGGTAAAGATTCTCTTGTTATTCAAAAACTGATGTTTTGCCAACATGGAAAAGCGTCGTGCTTCTATCTCTTCATTCTTCAAGAGATTTTATTCGGAATGGCTAAATATGATCCAAAAAGACCTACAACAGAGACATTTTTTGGTGGGACATGAAAGACAGATAATTAACAGTGATCTCTGTTCTCTGAATTATGCAAAGCAACACTTACCTTCGAACCAGATTTGTTGCGGGGCCTATGAGGTGAAAAACAACCCTAGTAATAGCCGAAGTTTTGCTGAAGATTCGGCAAGAGATGGTCGATTTCGGGTGTAGGAATAATGTGATCTATTTAAGTGCAGGAACTAATCGTAAATTAGTGAAAAATAATTTGAAGATTAGAGTAATTATTTATCCTTTGTTATTAGCTCAATTTGTGAAAATAAAGAGACATTGAATAAGAGGGTTTAATTTCAGTACTTTCTAATACTTAATTTCCACTTCCCTTTTCTTAGTTCTCACTCATTTTTCCAACTCTATTAGGATGTAGGGGTCACTCTAATCTAAGAGATCTTTCCACCAAAATCACCAAAATCATAAAGTGGATTTTGACTTACAAAACAGAGTGGCTATTAAGTCAACAATAATATATCTTACACGGTGAGAATAAAAATGGAGTTAAATTTTTAACTGCATATGAATAATATTTTATTAAGAGAGATAAATTTTTATTTCGGTGATCTGTATATTTTAAAAAGAATTAACATTCAACAGTAAGCTAGAAGAGATCTTTCGTAAAAAAATAAATATTAGTTATGTAATTTGTTTCGAAGCTTTGAAAGGGGTGTTTTAATTCTGTAATTTATTTGCAAGTACAAATTTATCCTAGCGTATTTTCTACAGCACAGCATCTAATTTAGGTAACTAAGCATTACGTATTGGCAAAGGGGATGTACAATTGTTTTTGTGATAGTATGTTCCAAAGTTTAAGTGAAGGAAAAATTATCCTATTCCAAGGTTAGAGAAACACATGAGTTTTAACTACGACTTAAGATCATGTTACAAACAGCTAAACTCTCACGTTAATTTTTGAAATATGTAATTTAGCTAAATTTAATTTTTAAAATTTGAAATTTAAAACTTAAAACTTTAGTTCTAAAATTAGTACTCGTAATAATTTATCATTGACATAAAACAATGTCGTTTTAAAATTTATAAAAAATAGTTCATTTTCATTTATAACTTTTAATATTTTCAAGCAATAAAGTTTTTTATTATCTTCTATTTTTCTGTCTTCTTCGTTTCTTTAGTTAGTAATGTAATAGACCGTCAAATGTAGTAATGATGAAACTAACCTTTCTAATAAATTTGAGAAAAATTATAACAATTTCTCACTTATTATCCTAAAAAAGTTCTAGATTGTAAAAGAATCATTGTAAGAGAATATAAAAGTTTCACAAGTAATAACTTTTGGAATATTAGGAGAATCAAAAAATACTAAAGTGACATATTTAAGATCCCTTCATTGAATTGATTACAATTGGTTCTACATTTATAAATTTTAAACTTGAATTTGGTGGTTCAATTGAGAAAACTCAAGATAAAAGACTTTTATAGTGTAAATATCATTACATCATTCTTATAAGAAAAAAGAAAACATCATAGAATAAGACAGAGCAAAAGATGAAGAGGGACTTTGTTGTTCAAAAATATTAAAATTAGTGAAAAAATAAACTATTTTTGACATATTATAAAATAAAGTCATTTTGTACCAAAAATGAATTGTCACGTGTCACTTAATGTAACATGTCATCATTCTGTTAAGTAAGTAGCGATTGCTAATTCTAGGGACTAAAAATTCATTGAAAATTTAAAAAATTAATATAAACAGTACTGCATATTTTGGGAATTAAATTAAAAGTTTACTCTTAGAATAACTTATACAGTAGAAACTCTCTAAATTAATAATGTAACATTATTAATTTAAAGAGTTATTAATTTATCGATAAATTAATAATTATTAATTTAAAGAGTTTTTAAGTAATTATACTGTACATACCAAACAAAAAGGAAAATTAATCTATGTCTCTTAGAATTACGTTGCAGCGAACCTTGAGACTCAACGTACAGTAAATTAGTAACTACACTACATATGCATTGGAAATCAATAATGACTTTTGAAGTACAGTAAATGTAAACAAGAGGAACAAATGTGTTTAATGTATTTTTAAGCAAGTTTGACATATATAAATTACATGAATGTGTTAGAGTATTCAAACCATATCTCACAAGATGGCTTCTCATCTAAAAGGTGTTGCAAAATCAACTATGTCAGATCAAATACGTAAGGAGTTGTGTGAGTATAAGAGAGATAATCCTGCAAGCAAACAAAAAGACTTGCAGAGATGGCTTGAGGGAAAATTTCAGTTGAAAGTTAGTCAAGGAAGAATATCAAACACACTTAAGCGGTCAGATGACTATCTCTTTGCTAAAATAAAAAAGGGAAGAGCAGAAATCAAAAGACACAAACCAGCAAAATATTCTGACATGGAGAAGGTTGTTTATGAGTGGTTTCTCCAGCATCAAGAACGTGTGAATATCACAGGAGAATTAATTTTGCAGAAGGCAAGAAATACAATGAAACTCGTGTACCCTCATGATGATTCAGATTTTAACTTCTCTATAGGATGGCTTGGGAAATTCAAGCACTGACATGGCATAAAGTCATTTCATCGTTTTGGCGAGAGTGGGTCTGTTGATATACAAGACATGGAGCAGAAATTGGTATCGATTCGGGAGAAAATTGATCAGTTCCCTATGAAAGATGTTTTCAATATGGATGAAACTGAGTTGTTTTATAGGCTACAAGCTGATTATTCACTGGCAACAAAACAACTTGAAGGAAGAAAACAAGATAAAGAAAGGCTGACGGTAGTTATTTGTTGCAATGAAGATGGCTCTGAAAAAATCCCTCTATGGATTATTGGGAAATATGCAAAGCCTCGTTACTTCAAGAATGTCAATATGAATAGCTTGAATTGTCAGTATCGAGCTAACAAAAAAGCATGGATGACTAATGTGCTTTTTGATGAATATGTTCGTTCATTTGACCAAATGATGCATGGTAGAAGAGTTCTACTTGTGGTGGATAATTGTCCAGCACATCCAAGAAATATTGAAGGGTTAAGAAACGTTGAGTTGTTCTTCTTGCCACCCAACATGACATCAAAGATTCAACCTTGTGATGTTGGGATAATAAGAGCTTTCAAGATGCATTACCGTAGAAGATTTTACCGCAAAATATTGGAAGGGTATGAGGTGGGACAATCTGATCCAGGGAAGATAAATGTCCTTGATGCTATCAATTTGGCAATCCCAGCTTGGACGATAGATGTTCGAAAAGAAACAATAGCGAATTGCTTTCGACATTGTAAAATTCGTTCAGATAGTGACGTTGCAAGAAATTTGGATGAATCCACTTTTGATGAAGAAACTCAAGACCTCGAGACTATGATCAATCAATATGGCTATCGTAATAAGATGGATATCGACAATCTAATGTACTACCTAGGTGAAAATGAAGCATGTTCGGAGGTTCAGAGTTTAGAAGATATTGTGGGTACTATCATTGAGAACAATGCAGAGGATGACGACGAAGATGATACAGTGTCTTTGGAGCCTGTTACGCGAAAGGAAGCACTTATGGCGTCGAACACTTTTCACAACTTTATGATACAATACAAAAATACAACACCTGAGCTATTGGATGCAATAAGAAAAGTTAGAGATGAGTTCCAAATAGACTTGAACTTTACAGACAACTATTGAATCATATTTCAATAGAGTGTAATATATTTTTTTCAGTTTCTATGAATTATTAATTTATGATTTTCTTGGGACCGAAAATTATAAAGGGATCTCCCGAAAAATTATTATCTTATTATTTTATCGAGTTTTTCAATTTTTTATATTGGCCCAAGTCGGGACCGGATAAATTTATTATTTTAGAGAGTTTATTAATTTATCGAGTATTAATTTAAAGAGTTTCTACTGTATACTTGTTTCACCTAAAATTAAACACAACTTAAGTAATATATAGAAATAAACAATATTAAAATTATTATCTATTTTTAGAGTTAAGTAAAAAAAAAAAAGAGTTCTAATATTATCTAATATTAAAGAAGATGAATAGTATATAAGTGATATTGTTTTAAAGTTTTACATAAATATAGTTACCTAACATTATTGTGATTTGTAGATGCTCACTCGATAAATCTAAATATACCTATCGATACTCTAATCCAACACATCTTAAGTAATGAACTTAAATCTATGATATAATATTTAATCATCAACCAATTTTCATTTATTAAAAATTTTGTATTAAATTAATCTTTATTAGTATAGTTATTTTTAATAAAAATTAAAATATTAATATAAATATTATCAATTTATATTAACAATTATATAATATATTATATTCTAATTTTTCACGTGAGTACAAGAATACACAAATAAATTTTATTCAAAGAAATAAAATATCACACTGTTCAATGTATTAACAAGTTTAGATGTTACAATTATCAATAATAAAATTACCATTTCTTAATTTTTTAACACATGTCTTTAGGTCCATATTAAATAAATTATATTATATTAATCAATAATTTTATCAAACTAAAATATTAATATATTATTAAATATTAGTATAATATATCTTATGAAAAATGTTGAAATTTATATTAATAATTTAATTTTCATTGAGAAAAGGATAAACTAATAAAAATATTTGTAATGATCGACATTTTTTATGAATGAGAATTATTTTAGTGAGAAGATGCTTTACATGCTTTGTTGTTATATAATAAGCTCCTCTCATCCCTCCATTCCGTGCTTATTTCCCTCACACCAAACTCTTAATACTCACAAATGGATGCAAAAATGGTTGCACAGTGCAAAAGTTCAACACTAAGTTTAGCTCGTTGGAAACCAAAACACCCTTCTGTGGTTGGAATGCTAGCAAGGCCTCTGGACGACAATGCAAGAGGAACAGGAAAAAGTAATGCGTACGAAGATAACTTGTTTGATCACATAGCTATAAACCGTTTATCAAAATCTTTTCAAGCGGCAACAGGTTCCTTCCTTGTATCCCTTAACATGATTCATCTCAATGAGATTTGTACTTTTTTTTATAAAAAAATTTGAATCAGGTTTCAGAAATAGTAGAAGTGGGTATGAGAGTCTGGTAGAAGCAACTACCGTGGCTTCACAAAAGTTTAGTCCCATTCAACAACATCAACTTGCCATTGAAGCACTTGATAGAGCCTTCCCAAAGCCAATGCTTTTGTTGGTGAGTTCTTTTGTGCTTTGATTTGATGTTCTTCTATTCCTTTCTTAATTTCTCTCATGGTGTCTTAATTTGTCATTGACTACCTCCCACTTGCATTTGTAATTGGCATTATACAAGTACAGAAAAATCAAACGTAGCATAATTCTTCCAATTTAAGAATATTGCTAGTTTTGTGCTACCTATTTCCAATCTCTGGGAATTTAAACTTAGTTATTAGCAATTTACCCAGTTCTTGCTTAATTGCTTAATTCATATTTACTGTCTTCTTTGCATATATTTATTTTATTAGTTTATGAAATAAAGTTGTTTCTAGCCAAAACGTTTTAATCCTCTTTTTTTAAGCTTTATTCTTATTTTCAAAGCTTGAGCCTAATAATTGTTATCTATGACTATGTTGTTATGCATGACCAACGACAGATAAGGACACTGCTACCACCATCATCTAGATTCGCAAGGAAATGGTATGCCATCTTCACAACTTTGCTCTTCGTCTGGTTAGTCGGGCCCTTAGAGGTAAACAATCGAGACTATGTTTCATGACAAGTAATCTCTTAGTTATTCATAGAAGTTCATTGATAATTATAGATTAGAATAAATCTTCTTCAATATTGATAGAGAGGGACGTTCATATTACTTATGTGGATTTTAACAATTTTCAGTCAATAATAAAAAACTTAATGCATAAAAGGTTGAGAATTTACTTATTTCAAGAAAAATTTTGACAAAATTTATTTTATTTAACTTTCATGAGATTGATTTTTTTAATATTTAATCGCTGAATTATAAATTTTCAATAATTAAGTTTTGTGTTAAAAATTCATAATTTTCAATAAAATTAACTAAAGATGGCAAAATGTGTTACCTAAACTAAATTGGGCCAGCTGGATTTAAGCTTCATGTTTTAGTAGGTCAAGTAAAACAAATTTACCTCTTATTTGAACCTTAAAATATGCAGCCTAAATTCATATTTGCACTTAAATAAATTGAGCTAACCTAAATCAGATCAAGAAAAAATCTATGTGAATCAAATTAAAAAAACTCTAAACTAACTCAAGCCTACAATTTAAAATTAAAGCCCAATATTATAGATCCATTTGAATTGACTCAGTCATTTTAACCCATTTTGTTAACTGCATTTATAAATATTTGATTTGTCTAAAATTTTAATATATAATTATTAGGATAAATTTATGATTTACTTGAAAAAATTATATTTTATATTAAATCATTTACTGCAGAAGATATCAAAAGCTACAAAGAACTTAATTCTCATAAGCTATTTTTCGTTTGTTTGAATAAGTTTTTTCAAAACACTCATCAAAACAATACCATTTCAACTTATGTCAAAAAATGTTATGGTCAAATTTATAATAAAAGACAGGGATGGTCAACATTCTATTTTTAAAGTGAGTTGACCCACTTAATTTTTTTTAAAAATTTAATATATAATTACATTTTAACTTAAATAATAAATAATTTTTTTAATATTAACTTTTAATATTTGTCAAATTTATATATGTAAAATTTTTAAAATAAAAAATTAATTTTTTAAAATTATATATAATTATTATTTTAAAATATTTAACTTCACGAGTTACTTTCACCAAAACCATTTTAAAATATGAGTTAAACAGATTGATAAGTTTAAAATCCTCAACTTATTTTAACAAATTTCATTAGTTAAGGAAGTCAATCCAATAAGTTAAACTTGTATTGTAAACTTTAGTATAAAAGTATATTTAAAAGAGTTTTTAGATAATTTATAAAAATAACTTATAACTTTTATAAAAATTACTTGGATGTCATGTTCCGCTATAAACTAATAAAAAAAATAGCATTTTTATAGTAAAACCAGTTGACCCTGCCTTCCACTAGCAATAAGATTGAAATTTAAGGGATCCACGTGTTGGTGTTGGTGGTGATTAGTCTACTTAGTCTCCATTTATGTTGACTCAAACAAAGAATTACATTGAAAAGGAATACAATACTTGAAATGGCTGTTGTAATTGGATTTGGGTACTCACAAAATATAATTACTTAGCAAAGTTTATGGAACATCTGAATAAGAAATGCAACTCCAAAATATATTTGAAAAGTGACAAAATGATACTTCAACAACTGTCTATTTCAGTATTTGTTCATTAATCTAAAAGGATTAACCTCATTGGTTTCACCATGTAAAGGTCAGAGAATCGGAGGTCAACGGGAGAAGAGAAAAAAATGTAGTCCACATAAAAAAATGCAGGTAATTAGTTTATAGCTTTCATTTCTATTTAATTTGAACATTTTATCTTTGAACAGAGATTTGTCCTCAATTCATCAACCTAAAGACATACTGAACAATTTGCTCCAATTATGCTCACATCCCATTCTCTATTGACATTATGACAAACATGATCTCCATCCAAGTCATTGCCAACACCAAAATCATGCCAATCATATCCATCATTCTAATGATGTCACCCAAACAATCTTCCACTCCCCCACTTTGAATATTTTAAACAATAGTTAACAAGTCTTTCTTTTTTACTTTGTTTTCATTTATGTCAAATTAAAAGATGAAAAATATATAAAAACCACCTTTACTATTAAATAGTGCTGAAATCATATATGTCTTAAATAAACTTAAGCTATGATAAAAAACTGTCTTCATTGTTAATAATACATATATTTTTTTATTTTACGAAAATAAATTAAAAAAATAATACTTTTGAAATTAACTAAGAAATTGTAAAAATAAAGTATTTCAATTAAGACACATGCATTATCTTTGTATTTTTTTAATTTGATATATCATGTGTCAAATTTTAAAACTTAAAATCAAAGTAAGATAAACTAAATTAAAACAGTTGTATTTGAAAGGAGTAAAAATATTAAACAATTAAAACACAAGATATGATATGTTCAACTTTTAAACTCAATCAAAATTCAATTTAGAATTGATTAATCGTTTGTTTAAATTTTAAAGTTTAGATTTTTTTAATATCATATGGTACATGAAGCTTTAAAATTTAAGTAGAGCTAACTAAATTTATAAATAATAATATTTGAGTGGAATAAAAATAAAAAAAATGAGATATTTAATAAAAGAAAAGCAACGACTTAATATGAAAAAACGTATAATTCCTTAAAAAAAATAATTCAAATTTATAATATAAATATAATTTATATGCAGGTTCTTAGAAGAGACAAACTGTGTAGGAATGTGTATCAATCTTTGCAAAATCCCATCTCAGTGTTATATAAAGGATTCCCTGGGTATGCCAGTGAACATGGTCCCGAGTAAGTATCCTCAGTAGCAATTTTCATGAGCACGTATCTATCAGGCACAGTACTACTTTTACTCATACCAATTTTGTTTACTTTTGATTTTGAAGAATAAATCTTCAAATTAGTCGCTGAAAGATCCACTGAATATCAAATTGGTCTTATAAATATTTTGAACATCAACTTGGTCTCTTTGATGCATAATAAAATAGAATGCGATGAAAAGTAATATACTGTTTGAACATTTTTATGATAGAATTAAAAAAAAAAGAGACCATTTTCATTTTATACTTTAAATTGGAGAAAAGAAAAAGGAGTATTAGGTAAAATGGAATAAAATGCATTTCTTTAAGTTTTATTTCATCTTATTTTAAACAATTTCTTTTGGTCTAGACCTATTTTAAACAATTTAAATAGTAAAACTATTATTATATTTTTATTTTTATTCAATTTCATCTTTTTCAACAATTGAAGCAAAGTCATAATATTTAAATTAAATATAAGTTTAACAGTCAAATTGAAGATTGTTTTACCCTATTAATGACTAAATAATAAAAATTCTTAAAGAAATTACTTAACATGTCATGTATCTTCTGTGAACATTTGAACATTTAATCTTTAATTAAATTAGATGGCCTTTTCTAAAGCACAAACTTCTTTTTGATATTAGTATGACCTACTTCGAAAGACTTAATATAATAGAATGCTAAATACCTTTAAGATATTAGTTAAAAAACTGAAAATTAATTTTTTTTTATTAAAAGTAATACTTAAGCACTTTAATCACAATTTTTACTGTATTTTTTATTAATTAATTATTTAACTAATATTTCGAATATACTCATTAACAGGATCTATAATAAAAAAGGAGGGCGGAAAAAAATAAAAAAATTAAAAGAACTTTCTGAAGTTGGTAAAATTGTGACTTCGTGACACATAAATAAAAGCTCCATTATTCTTAATATATATTTTACAACATTACCTTTTTTTATTATCTTATTCTATATTTTCTCTATTTTTAATCTCTTTCATGATTATATAAATTTTTACACAAATATATTGTATATTTTTTTTCGAAAACTAAATGGGAAAAGGTCGATGCTCCGGCCTCATAGTATATATATTATCGAATGATTTTTATATAAACTATCAAATAGCACTTACAAATTAAAAGAATTATAAAATTAAGTATTACAATAATACACAATACACAAATAAAGAAAAATGAATACGTATGCTTAAATTTGTTTAAGAAATAACAATTCTAAAAGTTCTAATTAGAATAAGGAGGAAAAGACAAATCTTAAAAAAAATATTTGATACACATTTGCATGTTTTTCATAAAGTAATTGATACCTAGCTCCAAGAATGTAGCCCTACTTTTATACTTCATAATTTAGTTTTCCTGACACGACATCATATTTCACACCACAAAAATGAGTTTCAGTTCACCAAAGGCATTGAAATATTTCATCATGAGGACAGAATCAGCATCATCAACAGTAAATAAGCGAAATTCCCTACAATTAAAGATTGACTAAAGCTCGTTAATCAACCTAAAAAGTTAAATGGATATAGAATTTTTACTGTCACTTTTATCTTTTGATTTGCAGATTTTGATGACATGAGTTGTGAGATGATATTTGGCCAAGATCCCCCGGAATCAAGTGATGATCCAGCTCTCAAGCAACCATGCTATAAACTATGTAATATATTTTTATTATCAGATTGTTATTACATGTCCGTCTAATTTAAATCAAATAAAATTAAACTTGAGTAAATATAATTAGAAATACATGAATGAATTAATTTAAACCACGTATATCTATTAAAATGTGTATGCTTCATTAAAAAATATATATGGGAATTGATTTTTTAATTTAAAAGCAAGCAAACCTTACATTATTTTAGACGCCAACTCCTAGACTTCAAAAGCTAGCAAACACTGAAAAATGAAGAGAAAATGCCTACACATTATTGCACATGCTTATAGGACAAGTTATTGGAAGACAAACACTACTGGATTTGATTGCACTGTACAAAGTTACGCAGTTATTTAAGAATCTTCAAAAATAATGTAAAAGGTAATAACTTATTCCATAGAATACAGTGTAATTAACTAAATTGTCTATTCATGTACCATGCAGGCAAGGCCAAAAAAAGCCATGGAACGAATTGCCTCAGTTAATGCTGCAGCTGTGCAAAGAGTAATTCCAGAAAACATCCATTCTATACTAAACATTGTAGTAGTTAAATGAATTTACTTTGTTTCTGCTGAAAAGGGAGATAAAGGGTATTCATTTGCTAAAATCCGATACGAATTAGTAAGGACAACTGCCCTATGAATGAAAAAGAAGCATCTATTTGGGCCAGAAAATATCAGAAAAATCGCCCAAGAGTTTGATTTGATTTTTTTTTATCTTTAATTACAAAACTGTCATCTTACTTTTATTCTGTATTTTATTTTTAAATATTTGTATAAAAAATTAAAAATGATTTTTTCTGCTTTTACTATTTTTTATAAATCCTTAAAAATAAAAAAAATAGATAAAAATAATATGACAACTTAGTAATTAAAAGTACAAATAAGATATAAAAGCAAACAATAAATTTTAAACAAAATATTCTCTAAAGAACTCCTAATTTTCATTTCTATTTCATAACGGGATTAAGTGATTCTTTTTTTCAAACTGGAGTCTTGAAAAATTCATGGTTATATATTATGAGGACTGAATTGCGAAATGACATCATAAGTGACCTTTGTTTCATGCAAAACCAAAGTAGTTTTCATTTTTGGGTGAGAAGTGTTTTGACTGAAGATTTCTTGTAGGCTTTCAGGTCAGCAAGGAAGAAACAAGAGAACCCCACCTATCTCGTGTGCTGACAAAGCTGAGACTCATCATCCTTCGTTTTTATCTCATTAGGAAAACAGCTAAGTGGTCCAATGCACTTCAAACCAATAAGATATCATCTGAAAGTAGATTTCCATCATTTCAGTAGTTTGAAAGTTATTAAGGCGCTCAAGTATGTAGAAGCAGAGTAAGTGGACAAAGGAATATTTATATGGTAGTGTTTTAATGCCACCCCCTCTCCCTCCATCATATATTATCGTATGAAAAATGTTTTTTAACTATTAGATGTGACATTTTTAGGTAATTTTTTACATTTGGAGTGTACTTTTGATATGTATATGTAATAAAAAGTTAAAAATAAGAATATTTGATATCATTTTAATAATTTTTTGAGTATTCAAATACAAAATTAACTATTGTATGAAACGATGAATTGAGTAAACTATTAAATCAATTTTTAAAACTATAATCACTAATTATTTTAGTTCTTAAAAATTATTAATATATATAATTCTTAAAATTAGTAAGTGTTATTTATTGTAATCCTTGGCGTAAAATGTTGTAAATTTGATACTAACTTTAGCTTGAGAAACCTCATCGTTGCCCTCTCTAACCCCAATGCCTTGTTAAGTTTAAGGAAATGAATTAAAATGATGGGAGAAAAAACCATTTTTTCTCAATGAAAAAGATTTTTGTCTCATTATATTTCCTTTGTTTTAAACCGAACGTGAGAATTATATCAAAACCTATGTATTCTTCCTTCTCATTTTCTCCAACTAAAACAACATGCAAAACATACGAAAGTGACAATGATTACAATGCTGGTAGTGGGCACATTCCTGGAAAATACAATGTACCAGATACACTTAGGTGAAGTGCACCTCGAATACTAATGTTGTGTCTAACAAGTGTCTTGAATCAGAGTGATGGGATTGGCATCTCTAATATGATTCCCATATGCAAAGTGGTAGTCCTTAACCCACTGACATCGCAAGGCACAAGACAAGACCCTCTAATGATTTCATAAATTACCAAACCAGTTCAACCAACGCTCCATAGTGTACGAAGTAATGAAGTTGTCTCCTATACTTTCCATTGTTGATTTGCTAAGGATAAGAAGAAAGACCAAACTATTACTTTTCCATTTTGCATTCCTTCCTACTTCCTAGTTCCTGTCCCCTCAAATTGTCAAGTCTCAAAGAAATGCACCTAAAAGATACCCCAAAAAACGGAAAGTTGCAACTTGCAAGCAAGAGAGAGTCAATGACGTTAAAAAAAAAAGAACTAGTTTTTTTTCAGACAATATTAACTACAACTCTAATTAAGCAATAAAAAATGACCAAAAAAAAAAGCATCCTCACCAATATTTCTAATGTAATTTTTAATAAATAATTATATTTACTAATTAAACCAATATCTTAAGGAACACTAAGTAATAAGTTTTTATTTTACATAAAAAACTCATTTTTTTTAATAAGAAAAGGTGGAAAACCTTGGAGCCCACTAAGCCTCAGTGTTCTCATAAGCCGAAGGAGCAAGAACTGAAAATGGGCCGATGCAGCTTCAATTGACCCAAATTGACTCAGTTTACATGCAAGCCTTTTTGGTGAGCTGTTCGGCCCAATATTATCTTTAATAGCTTTCTACAGTGTTTTATTATTGTTGACAAAAAAATAAGAATTTTATTACTTCTCTGACCCAATATATATATATATATATATATATATATATATTTATTTATTTATTTATTTATTACATGTAACTTCCTATTTTCCGTTTAATGTACCTTTCCATTTCTCCATCCTCCCCCCAGAGAAAATTTTAAAGATGCCAAGTATTGTATCTCATTGATAATGGTAGGAATAGGTTACTCGAAGAATGTAAGTTGAGTCATAATTTCACTCAAATCTTATAAACCTTAATTTCTATGCACCTCACTTCATAGCGAATCTAATTGCGTTGGGTGTTTGATTTTCAATTTTTTTCATTAACATTTTAATGAAAATAAATATTTAAATGGATTCTTCGCGAATTTACAGCAAAATTTTATTGATCATTACCCACATTTCATTCTCACTCCGCTCATGTATAGTTTACGAGCAACCTGATTGATCAAATGACAATTTCATGAGATTTCTTATAATTTTTTCTTACTAAATAGTTGTGATTGAAAATCATCATAAATTATATAAGGTTCAAAATAAGATGATCTATATGTATCATTGTTACACTCAAATCTTGAAAAAGAAAGGGAGAAAAAAGACTTGATAAATCTATAATTTCTACATGAAAAGGCTTTCGGAGCATAGGCTTAAACATTTATTTTGTTATTATTATTAAGAAGCACCAAACACGATGTTGAATCCAAAATCTTCAAATTATTATGATTTCTGATGGAAAAAAATTATTAGGTTTTACATCTTTATACTTATTCCTAATTTAACTTCTATGTTTTAGTCACTTATTCACACTTGCTAGGTTCACAAGCTCGTCTAGATGGTTTCTCTCAACAACCATTTAAAAAAATCAATTTTCTAATTAATATAGTATTACTCACGATAAGAAGTCATAAATAGTAAATTTTTAATAAAATATACAAAATTTAGTATAACTAAATGCATTGATACTATTAAATGTTACAATTTTTTTAAAAAAAAACATTATACATATATTGCTAAGTAAACAAATGCCTAGCTAGCTCTTATTTCTTAAATTATTGTTTCAAATTTTTCCTTCACGTCATGGCCATTCTGCCATCCCTACCAAAAACTTTCCATTTGCACTTATGAATTGATCAAACATGAGCTTAACCATGGACGTGTACAAACTAGAAATAACAAAGCAAAGCCCGCAAGTGCTGGCTATTAATAACGATTTCACAATTGGCTAGTTCAGTGGGGATGATATGGGGACAGGACCCCCAAAGAAGGAGACAAGGCCTGAAGAAACAACAGTAACCAGTAGCCATGACAACCAACGAAGACAAGGAATGGACAGTTTTAATGAGTTCTTGAGCAGGGGCATGTGCCTCTGCTACTGCCAGTTCACGTTCATCCACTTCCCTTTCATATACAATACAAGCATGGTTATGTTTGTGCCCCTTCTGGATAACAAACGAACCACCATCTTCCCCTTGTTCAAGTGTTTAGTTTCTTTCAGTGCTAAATATGAAATTCAGAAATCAAAGTCAAGACATGAGACACACAACCTTAATCCTTGGATTTGGTTGTGGGTTGGCAAATTAAGACCGTTAGACATTAAGAGTCTCATATTTGTGGATTATTAACAAATTAAAATTAAGATGTTTAAACACGAGAATCATGAGTTTAAGGACCTGTTCTAAACTCAAATCTCACTTTCTTTGGATTTTAAATCGGACCCACATCCAAATTTTAATAAAAACCAACGTGAAGACTTGTGAAGAAGATATGGGCCAAGAGGCTTGTTAAAGAAAAAATAATAAAGAAAAGAGTAAAACGTAGAGACCCACTTAGGGAAAACAATAAAAAGGGTGTTGCTTTGGTACTAGATGCTGCTTTGGTAGCTCCCTACTTGTCACAGCCCCACCAAGACTGAACCATTGCTGCATCATAATAATAATAATAATATGCACATTTCATGGTCAAGGGCTTGCAATGCACATGACAGAATGCAGAAACGCATACGTTCAAAGTTGTACCACCTATTGCCCTATAATTGAGGGAAGAAAAAAGAAAAGGTTTGAAGGGGATCATAGCATAGCAGTATCAAGCGTGAATTATTGGATCTGCATCACGTCCTTGTTGTCATGCTACATTTGAGAACCAACGAGTGTGGTTGGGTAAAGCGTTGCTATCAAGTAGTTAATGTAACTATCCTTTAACTAATTAAGCAACTATGGCCCAGTTGCTACTCCTCCATTCAACTGTTTCTTCGTCACGTTTTCTTAAATGGATGATACATTAATTAGGATTAATTATCAATGAAAACGGAATTAAAAATACAACTATGGAGAAAGCACCACAAAGGATGATATAAATATGCATCAAATAAACATGCATTACTCAGTTTTGTATGACACATTTTTATGGATGACGACAAAGTGATATAAATATCTAACCATGCGCGATCGCAATGAAGGGGTCCTCTACTTTAACTATGTTTAATAACTCGAAATTAAAAAATAAATGATATGTAACTTAATTGATTTGAAATTTGAAAAACTAGAAAAAACAAGAAAAAAGAAGTTCATGTGATTTGAAAAGCTGCTGGTGGTGGGCATTTATGGGAGATAGAAGGGTATTTAGACACGTGGCAGATTTAGTTAACGAGGACAAGGAGTGTTGAGAAAAGAGACAGAGAGGACCCAGAGGCTTTGATACCTCCTTAGCCAGGTTTGTCATGGCATTTCCCAATCCGAAATATAGGCATGAAACCATTTTCATGGCAATCCCGAAACTGGACAAAACCAACTTAATAGCGTCATGTCCATCAGGGTAACAACATATTTTTCAATTATCGTAATCGCTTGTCAGACAAAAGTAAAGAGAGCTACTCTCATACAACCTTCAAAACTGACCCCCTAAGTCATTATTGGATTATTGCCACCTTCCGTTACTCCGTCATTTCTCTCTTTTACTGCCCATGAATTATTTTTATTGTAATTTAGATTTCTTAATTTTCAGATATCAAACAGCAGGATATGCTGAGATTTGAATCAAGATCATAGAGTTTGGCGTTATCTGCACAGCCCTGTGCAGTTCTTAATCTCACCCTTCGTTTTTTCAAATTATGTATTTGCAACTGTTGGTAAAAATTAATCACTGTCGAACTACGCTGCTTATCCTGCAGTTTAATGGATGGGGCGAGCTACTTCTGTTTAACAAGAGAATGAAATACGGTGCATGAATTTCATACAATGTGACATGACATTTCTACGTCTCCATTATGCTTTCATTTTTCTTTTTCTAAAATCTATATAGTTGAAATAATCCTAGTACCTAAATTGTAGTAACTACATAATACTTGCAAATAACAAAAGCTATTAAATGGAAGTTTACAAATTGTTCTAAAATATTAACACGTCTCCTTATACATCAACACTTCATTATCAAAGCGTGGAAACTTAAAAAGGTTCAGTAGTTGTCTAAGGACCTCTTGCTTACCCGAATTGAGGGGGAAAAACCTGTAATCTAAATCATTAGCGAGTCATAGTAACACGACCTCTCAAGTAGCAAGCCATATCCACACGTTTTATTTTGGTATGAAATTCAAGCATTTGCTGACAAATTGATGTTTAGGGTCCGTGGTAGTTTGCGATTGGCGTTTGTGTTTCTCTCGTGGTTCATTATGTATGGGATCCTCATCCTACGCATAGAGTTCTATAATATCTGATCACCCCCACCACATAAATTAACAGAAAGCCAAGGTCAGATTTGCCCTATATTTCAGGTTTCAAATTCCTGATTTCGTCATTGACAGAAAGCAAGCCAAAAGAAAAAGGGAAAGCGCGCGAAAATTTAAACAAAGCGTGCGACTCTTTCTCTGCTTTTTTGAATTTTCTTAGAGATTTGTGAATGGAATTCAAAAGACGAGCTTCCTACGAAGCGCGGATAGCTTGTTACTACATTGCGGGGAAAAGGAAGCGAGTTCTCGAATAGTTTCGCCAATGAGATCTTTAAACACGTGACGTTCAAGGTCCAACACCACATCTCCCATCTCCACCGCCCATTCCCCCCATCCACTCATCTCCTCCGCCATGTCCTTCTTCAAAACGCCACATATCACCTTAAATAAGTCCTCCGACTCCGATTCCTCCCTCTCTCGGATCCTCCGAAACTCCGACCAGATCTGCTGCCTCTGTTCGCCGCACAACACCGCCTTCCACGGCGGCAACTGTTGGTTCCGGTTCAGGATTTCCTGAAGCGTGTCGAAAATCACTCGCCTCCGCAGCGTGGAAGCCTCTGATGTGTCCTTTCCCTTCAGACACTGCTGCTTCTCCAGTAACAAGAAAATGTCGCTCTCTTCTGGCAAGTAACTACACGCACGAAGGATCTCCGACACGTAAACGAAATCACAGTCCTCCGATCCTGCCTCCTCCGATTTCCCTTCGCTGCTGCTGCACAAAGCCGCACTCCACACATCATCTTCTGACTCCGCCGCTTGATCTGTAATGCAATTTCGCCAACATTCGATTAATTTATTTCTAAATAATCAAAAGACATTCATGTATACGAGAACGGAATAAACAAATTAAAAATTGACAGATTCTTTGTGTGTGACGGTGAGTGCTCAGGAGGCGAGCTCAGTCCCACGTGATTGTACGGGTAAAAGCAGGCACCACACCGCACCGCACCGCAGTTTTGAGAACCCAACTGAGTTATGCCATGTCAACATCCTTCGTATCAAATGATTGGTCCACGTTAGTTGGGATTTTCGAAGAAGAGGACAAACTATTCACTGTATTCGTGCTTGTCTTCGGAAACCAAAATAAAAAAGGCCTATATAATATTATTCCTATTGACAATTCCCATTGAACATTAATACGTAACAACTTTGGCTATGCACAAGCAAGTCGTCACCAGAAAAGCCAGCTCCATTTCTAACCAATTAAAACGCAGGCAAAGTACAGATAAGTTTGAAAAAAAAATGAAAAAAAGTCTCGCTTTCATTAATTCACTCACCTTTGTAATCAATGCAGCGTTTGGTTATTGGGGAAGGTGAACACCACTCGTCCTTGTAAAACGACGAGTCAAGAACCGATACTGGACTCGGTTGCAACTCGTTCGCTGCAGTTATCTCTGCTATGCTGTTAAGCAGTTTATCGCACCTATCCAGCAGATCCCTCCCTTCCCTGTACTCTTCCAACTTGTACCTCTGCACCACACGCACTATTCCCATTAATAATTAGAACCAATTAATTAATTAAATAATACATATTTATTTATTGCACAAAATAAATGATGAGCAGTAACAGTTACTAGTTGCTGCTACTACACACACTACCTCTGCATCGGGATGTGAGGAGGTGCTGAAGCTGTTGTCTGAAACCGTGGACGATTCATCCTCTGCCCCACCCAAAACCTTCTCCTTCACTTTTCTCATCCTGGGCGATCCACTTGTCACGTGCTGACCCGTTCCATTCCTTCTCGCATTGACCTTCGGCGAATGAACCGGAGACACCCTTTTCGAATCAACACCACCCTCGTTACTCACTCTCCTCCTCTGCGGTTCCGCGTTAGACACCTTCCTCCGATTCGGGCTCCGAGCTTCAGTTCTTACGGTTCCCGCCCGGTCATTCCTGCGGGCATCGTTCACTGGACTTGGGGTCCGGCGAGCGCGAGGGCTAGACCGGAGTGGAGGAGGAGAATCGTTTCCGGCTCGGTTCACCGGACTTGAAGATCGGAGAGGTTTCATAACGACGATGGGAGATTGGTCGGGTTTGTTGGAATGTAAAAGCCCCTTAAGCTGCAAGGCCTCTAAGATGTGTTTGAGAGTATGGAGATCCTTAGAAGGCTCGTTAATCCCTCGCATCCTCAACCTCCTCTCGATCTCTCCGTAGATTGAAACGGTGTGTTTTGGCTCGGGGAAGAAATCGGCAGTGTCATAGAAACTCTTCTTGAGCGCTACAGTTCCCCTTTGCCTAGGATGAAGAGGAGTTCTGGGTGGTTCCGATGGATCTGCGGTTCTGCGATTGGATAACGAGTTATCGATGGCAGCATTGTAATTCTCGTGGACCACATTGGTAGGTTGAGTGTTTGGGTTCAACTGAAAAGTGTTGGAGTCGAAGAAACGACACTGCGGCAGTGGGAGTGGCAGATCTCGGGAGACTCTGGACTCGGATGCGGATCTTCGGAGCTTGATGATGGGTTGGGGATCGGAATCTGGTAAGGGCTCGAGGCCCATGAGCTTAGCGATGACGCTGGTGGAACGACGCTGTCTGTCAGCGTCGTTTTGGAGGTTGTTGGTTGGGGTGTCTCTGGGGTGAATGCTTCCTTTGGCGTCGACGATGGCTCTGCTGTCGAGAGAGAGTCTGGGAGATTCTCTGGAGAACTTCCAGGGAGACCTTGTTCCCTCCTTGAATTCCAGAACGGGGAGAGCCACCTTGGCATCAGAGTGCGGCTCTCGCGCCGGAGAAGAAGTCGAACGCGCCGGAGAGGAGACGGGTTTGTCGGGTTCCGGCGATGGATTGGATGCCTTCAAGAGAGGAGGAGGTTAGTTATAACAATAAAAGAGAAAAGGAAAATGAGAGAAGGTGAAGGCATTACCGGAGGGAGTCGTTTGGCGGAGTAGATGCGTTTTCCGGTGAGTATTTGGTGGCGATCGAAGATTTGAAGGAAGCCAGCCATGCAGCCCATTTGCTTGTGAATGTGTTTCTCCAGGTTGAGATTCTGGTCGCGTACGATTCCCGTCGTCATTTTGTATTGGGTTGGGTGTGTTAGTGTCAGTAGACTCTGTCTGTGTTTGTGGTTTGTATGGTTTGTGAAGGGTTCTCCTTCTCCATAGTCAGTTATTCGCTATAACTCATCTCATCAAAGGATGCCTTTATCTCACTCCCGCTTTTCTGGTCTATAAAACGGGTTGCCCACAATTAAACGCCAACCAAGACACCCCCCCTAATGTCCTTTTTGTCCTTTCCCTTTTTCAAAATGCCTAATCTGTCCTCCTCACACCCATATCCCCTCCGCCCCATTCAAACTAAACTATTAATCAACTCTATTTTTAAATATAATTTACAAATTATCTTAAACTAAATCTTAACTTGTATTACATGTTGATATTAAAAATATTTTAATTTAATTACCATATCTAATGCTAATTAACGAAGCACTAATTAAATTTTGAAAGATATAAATTTTAGTTCAACTGGTGATTAATGAAAGTCGGTGGCATAAAAGATGTTTGTTTGTGGATGCTCAGAATTCAAACAAATTGTGAATCACTAATTTGAAGCATTATAATAATAACAATACATAATTAGGATTAAAGGGTATGAGGTTAGCACAGAAAACCGCGCGCCCACTTTACACATAGGTAGTCGAGGCCTTTTACTGTAAGGAGGTGCAGCATAGCCACCGTGGGCAATGCTCTCTGCCTCCGTGTCAGATACAAAGTGCCTTGTTTTTTGCGCCTTTGAACGAAGACTGTAATTCAATTGGAAGGCATCTCATATCACTATTCCCCATGTCCCCCAATCTCTTATCAGCCGTTGGATTCATCCAAGGAAAACTCTAATCCATGCACAGCATTGTTTAGCTAGGTTTTTCATTCCAAAATTCCAAACCGTAATTTAAGTAGTAAAAGCTAGAAATGTTTTGTCCACCCAAATCATGAAACTAAACTTGGACGCACGTACTCTTGCTTCTGCACCTGTACATAGTCATTCCATCATACACACCATTAATTCAATTCCACCCATCCAAGAGGTCCCAAACCCATCTAAAGTACCATAATGCCAAACCCTCCCTAGATACACTCATTGCCACAGACGATAATGACTTGTTACTGCGCCCTCTTATCTTTTTGCCCTATCAACCACAAATACTGTCCGCCAGGGCCTTCTTCTTCTGCTTCTCCAGGGAAAATAAATACTACTTTTCATCTAATAATACCTCTACATATACCACCCATTTATTATGCCCAATACTTCGATATACTTTTTGTTTTCTTTCCCTACATGCTATATTTTAATTCAAACCTTAATATGAATTGGATTGACACAGGGTTTTTAATGAAACTAATTTTGTAGAACGGGTATGATAACAGGAAAATGGAGTGGAAAATACACGGTGTAAGTGCACGTTGAGGTGAGAGCTTGATTGAGAACATATGGATAATAAGCCAAGGGTTCCCTCAGAGAAGTGTTTCTAGGCCATAAAATGCACACTCTAGTGTGTGTTTTGAACCAAACATAATGTTAAGGTAATAGTTGTGTACAGTGACATATTCTCATCCCACCGCTTCTTCTTTCTTTACTTTCTTTCTTTTTGCTTTGATACTTGACATGAGCCTCTTTTACAAATTTCAAGAAAGAAAAGCGGTGAAGCGGTCATTGCTTCACGAACACTATACCAATTAACGCATACTTGGAAAACTGCAGAAGAGCCACGCCCATGGTTGAGCCTTTTTCTTTGAGCAGTGATAGCTGCTCGCTGCACGTATGCAACAAGTACTAAAAATATAGCAAATTTCACTTAAACTGCCTTATTAAGTGTATATCTTCTTAAACATCATCATTATAGTGGTTATTATTATTGTTGTTAGAATAATGGCATATGATATGAAATTTTAACAAAAAATATTATTGTTTGAAAAGACGATAAATCAAATAATAAAGATACTACTATATAAAAAAAATGTATGCGCTTATCAATGTTATTTTTTATTATATTAGGGGAAAACAAGAATAAAATTTAGTTATAAACTTAATTTGCTTTATACATGTGTGTGTTTAATTTCTACATATAATAAGAATTTAAATATTATTTTTTATTAAAAATTATAAAATTTAATATATTAATGTTATCAAATATTATACATTGTAGCAAATTTTTATTACTCGCATATGCACGTGCTAAAATTTTTGATGAACATACATATATATAGTTAATATAATATTTGACTAGTTTAAATTATTGTTACAGATATTACTTGATTGATTAAAATATTTCTTTTAACTAACATAACAAGGCTAAATAGATTTATTACATTATTTTACCTGCATAAAAGTTCACTACTCTAAAGTCAAATATTCTACAAATTTCATTTGATTGATTCAAATTATTGCAACATGTATTAATTTATTAATTCAAATTTTTTATTAGTTTGTAAGTTTAATTGTATTTTAGGTCTGTATATTTTAATTTATATATAATTTCGGTCCTATTTCTCTCCTTCAAATTCCCCTCAATAATTAACATAAATATAAAAAGTGCAATATATTATTAATTTGAAAAATTATAAAATATTGAAATAAATGAATAAAATGTAACAAAGTTGGATAAGTGCTTCTAAGTTAAAAAAATAAAAAGGACGTTTTCTTTTGTTTTAACTTTAGGCCTATCTGTTTGAAAAGACCATTAAAAGTGGCATTTTGCAATCAAAATTTAATACATTTATATTCTTAAAAATCAATCTTAAAACTACCGATTAAATTAAAATAATTCCCTTACAACTGATCCCTTTGATGGTTATAAATATAGCTGGTCAATAATTGCACCGAATTTAATTACAGGGCTCCCAACTCTTTCATCCAAAGCATAGGATGAAAGAGACAACAACTTTAACCTCTTCTATAACACGATTGCAATAATATCAAAACTAGGCATTTAGACCACTGTTTTTTATAAATATTTTTACTCATAAAAAAATTATCTTATTTTTAAAAATATATGCATTATTATTTTTATACAAATCTTTAAAAATAAAAATAAAAAATATTTAAAAAATCAAACAGCCCCACTTTGCACAATAGAGAGAGTGCTCCCCGCTCCCAAGGCAAAAAATTCGAAAGAAAAACAAAAGACGAATTGAATTAAACGTGGCTTTTACAGAAGTCGACTGTGATGGGATGAAGATGCCTAGTTGCACACAAAGAATAATGCTGTTAACTGGTATCTGTAGCTTTTATTCCTCTTCCTGTATATATATCAAATGTATATATCATTATAATCTTGATTGTGACGTTATAATCTAATTAAAATGAAAATTAGTAGCAACAATTCATATATATTCAAATTACTACACACTTAATCATAAATAACAAAAATCTCATACGTATGGAAACCTGGGAATTTTGATAATATTTTGAAAACTTACAGATGTATGGAAAAAAAAACAAGGAATAATTGATGGATTGGTCAGCAGGGACACGCCATTGAATGAAGTTAGGAAACGGGAGAGGGATCCAATTAAAAACAAGTCGAGTCGGATGAGTTATTTCACTTCTGTCCTCGTCATAATTATGACCTGTGCCCTATTCATAACAATTGATCACGCTACAACTAGAAAGTGATAGTTCAAGTCCTTATGCATGCTGCTGCTCAAATCCAATTTTATTTCTGAAAAACCAAAATGTTATTGACTCAATCGAGTAGTTTTGTTCCACAGTCCTTATTTTTGAAGATTGAAATTCAGTAAAACTATAACGCCGTATGTGTATTAATTTACCTTGTAGGGGTTGGGCATGAAGTTGAATCAATTTGATGGCCTAACTTACATTAATTACTACACCGCCAGCTAAAATTCCACGTAATAGTGCAAGTAATGAGTTTTAAATTTGTTTGTTATGATTTTAGACAAGGATTTAAATTCACATCTAACTAGTACCCATTTTGGGGTGTTTCACCTTTTCCTTAATTAATATCTTGTTGTGGGGATTTCACTCGGTATAATTTACACTATGCCCATGCGAGATACATGCATGATATATATATATATATATATATATATATATATATATATATATATATAGATGCTCACTTCTTCAATCAATAAGATTATTTAGATCGCATGCATGCAATCCATGAATGTATCAATCGTAATTTAGATTAATCCAAAAGAATTCAGTATCATTAAGTGGCTAATTGTTATGGCAATTGGATTCTTGTTTGGGAAAGGGAAGACCCGCACTTCAATGTTTGGCAAACCTAACTAAGCACGAGATACTTAATCCTCAATTTGAGCACCTGGGATTGTGCTTGGTGTCGAAAATTACTAGGAGGGATATTCATAAGCACATACTCACTCCAGTTTTTATATGCATATTTTAACAGTTAAAATTTACATATGTTGGGAGTTGATGGAATAAAAGGGAATGTATTAAAAATGTGGACGTAAGCTAATAATAATGAGGAGTGGATGATAAACATGATTTTATTTTTTGGTGTGAAGAATTAAAATGTTATGAGCATAGGTGAGTGTTGATGTCTTTAAAAGGTGTTCTTAGAGGGTCTTTCGACCAAACCCGTACACGCAGTTAGTGGAAGCAACCATTGTGCTCACAGATATTAATTCCCTGAAAGGAAGAGCAAGATCCTTTTCCTTTTTAGCCAAAACTGTCTTCTTCAGTTTCACATCCTCCTAAAATATTCATAAAGATAACTGAAACTGCTGTATATTATACGTACTCAGTTATCATCACAAATGCGGTCAAGCTGCCATCCCATGTGGTTTGTCCTATTCACCCTTTTCTGATTCATCCATGTGACTCTATATAACCTCCACCTATCTTTCACACCTTCACCTTATTCGTTATATTTCTAGTTAATAATAATAATGTTTTCTATACAGTCTTAGTCTTTATGTTTTTATAAATATTTTATTTTAGCCTTCTTCATTTTTTTAAAAGTTTACCACTTTGATCTCTGATGATAATGTATCTAATTAAAAACTTGTCATGTTTCAAATTTTTGTAGAATGTTGTGAATTAAAGGGCAGCAATCCCTTTTCCTTCACTTTTCTCACTTTTTAAAAGCCATATTCATTTTTAAAACATGCAGAAACCTGGCTTTAAATAAGCATATACAAAATTGGAGTCACAGAGACACAGTTACACGGCATATGATACACACATAATTTTGTTATATATACCTAAACTTGTACACTCGCGTGCTAGTTAAAAATACCTGCAACTGGGAGTATTACATTACTTAACACAAAAAGGGCAAAAAGATTAAAAAAGAGAAAAATTAAAAAGAGGAACAGTTTTGAGTGAAAGAGAGAAAAATGAGGGTCCCCATCTTCTTCAATTTCCCATGCCGTGGTTATATGAATATGGTAACTGGTAAGAGAGCTCAGTTCCCAATCCTGAAACCCCCCATGTTCTATATCACCGACCCTATTCCACTGTACACATTTTTTGATATCCTAACATTGCTTACCCCGCATTTCACATTCCACTTCATCCCATGCAACTTCTTTTGTTAAATTTAACCTGAGCACCAACAATGACTTCAAAGGCTGTGTTTGAGTTTTGGTTTGACCTAATAAAAAAGTAACTTTTCACTTCTATATATATATATATATATATATATATATATATATATATATATATATATATTCAAATTACTGTTTCAAATCCAAAATGATGTACAAACACAGTTCAACCATGATTTTGTGAAATAGTTTATTTTTCATGAAACTTGGTTTAAACCTTGTAAACTATACTTTGTGGGGGCGTGAACTCTGATCCGCCAAGGATACTCGAAAAATGCGCTAAAATGTTAGCAGGTGTCCAAATAACTAGCATTTCATATTATTTTGTAAGGACCCTAAGAATAATAACTAAATAAAAATCTTGTTAAAAATTCCGAAAAATTATATTAAAAATCGTGATAAGATGTTCTGATAACACTTTTTATAAGACTTTTTACCTTCGATTGTACCAACGGATAAAGACATTAGTGAGCCTTCTCTTTTTTTTTTATATATCAAAAGGAAAATGTATGTATATAAGAGGGAGTGTGTGTAGATTATATTAATATGATATTTGAGGGATATGTGCTTGAGTCACAGTTGGTGATGAGACTTTATATGGAGTAGACAAGTTTTCTCTCCTATTGATATATTATTGTAGAAAAAAGGTGATTGGCAGAAACACATATAGGAATGGCGAATCAATGATGAAGGGGAGATAGGATTCTGATTCCTCTATCTTGGGCTCAGTACTTGGACCACTTCGAAGACTGCTATCCCTCTCCTCCCCACTCACATGGATTTTCTGTTTCTTTTATGTATGTATATATGCTTAGCCAAATTTGTTCCTTGTATTCATTTATATTTGGGTATGCCAGACACTGCACCATTTGTTTTTGCCTTTTCCTACCCAATTCATTAGCCATGTTACTTTATCAAGGCACAACCACTTTCTCACCTCATTTGCAATCAAACCTAAAACTCTGCCTTTGACTGTGAGGGGTATCATAGGAGAAAATTTTATGTAAACTTTCGAAAATAATATTTCAACCCCATCCAAATATGATATATGAGGTGTCATGTGGAAACTTAATCTATGCTAATAGATTAATTTCATAATGAGATATAGTTTATTAATTTTATATTATTATGCGAGAATTTAAAGCAATATTAATTTCATATATATAAATATGCATTATTATTATTATCCAATCGGAAAAGACTATTTTGAAAAGAACTAGTTTTAAAGTGAATTAACTAAGACGTGTTCAGCCTTCAAATTTTTTTTTATTTAAATATAGTTTTACTTTACTCACTTTAAAAATAATTTAGTTTTGATGAGTCCTTTCATATTCATGTTCAACTGACTTATATGTAAGTATAAAGTCAGAGCAGCGAATCTGCAACATGACGAGAATTATTGTGTGTAATAATTAAGGTGAAAGATTATGTATCTAACCATGTTCTTGTTGATAATGTAAAAGAGGGAAATAAAGTGGTTGAAGTTGTTCTTCATGTGCAGCAGTACATGGCATCTTTGTCATCTAGCGGGGAAGGTTAATTATTTTTTCCCTGTGGAATTTGATTCAGATTCTATAATTACCACACTGGTACTCTGAATATAAGCAAGCACGACCTAATCTAAAACAAGAGTCAAATTTTTTATATCCCAAAAAGATAGCAGTCTCCTAACATTCACATGCCTTTGCCTTTGTGTTTATTTCTTACCTAAAAACGGGAAATTAAAGGTCCGAAGTCCAAAAAAAGATGATAAGTGACGAAAAGAAGAAAAGATGGATCTATGCACATGATATGCGGGGGAACAATTAGTGTCTTGTACTAGATCATGTTCTCATATATAATCTTTACGACAGTGTTACCATAATATTACACTTTACTAAGTTACAAGTTTTCGTGCACTAAAGGAAAAAGATATCTATAAAAACCATGTAATTTAATTTTAATCAATCAGTATTAATAAAATAGCCATAAACGAATGTTATTATGATTAGTCTAGTTGGCTAGAGTACTGATTCATTCAATAGCAGAGCAGAGGACAGTCCTCTGCTGCGAATGAGGTCACATTTTATAGGGTTTAGGTATAGCACAGATAGAAATGGAATAGAATTTAGTTTATTATATGATATAATAATAATATATAACAAGTCTATAGTCCAAAGACACCTCGGCATGTGTTTATTATAGTTTTCCTTGAACGAAAGGCAACTAGCCAATAACATGAACGTTATTGAATACTAGGGGAGGGTTGTTATATTTGCTTGGCTCGTTCTTCCAAGTAGTTGGTGGATTAAAAATATGCATATATAGAAACACTCTGAAGATGGATTAATTTAAGGTGAAAGCGATTGGGGAAAGGAAAAGAAAATGATGTATAACGGTCCTTTTTGTGAGTACAAGATGAGATATGTTCACAAAAGGGTTACTCGGAGAGGGTATGTCTCCATTTTAATTTGCTTGGGACGCGTACCCATTTGCCATATGCAGTGCCCTTCCTCATCGATATTACCCATTCTCACATGCTCCCCCCCACTCCCTCCTTGGGGCACTTAATTGGAGGATTCAAAACATGGCTTCATGTACACTCCACAGTCCATATTCCCCTCTTACTATAATCATCGTTTGAAGCTTTCCATAAAGTTTATTATAAATTGTGAATTCAGATTGCTAACTGTTTTATTTTCAACATACATGCTGACGATGATGATGCAATGTTTCTTTCCTTTTTTTTTTTTATCTTCCATGTTTCTTATCCCAAATGGGACTTTAATTTTCATCTCTCTCTCTTGTTGTACAATTGAAAATAATACAACGCAATGCAAACAAACCATTATGTAACAACAAATGGCACTGATCACACCAGCAAGTGCCAATTGCATACCATTGGGGCCGAGGTTCAATGTTGAAAACATTTGCTAGTGGCATGAGGATTTGTTTCTTAGCAGTGATATCTTAATAAATCATGACGACTATAATTCATATTTATTTTAGTTTCATCAACTAGGATACAAATAACTAGTTGGTAGGGCCTTGAGAGTTAAATAGTATATTATAAAACAACATACTATGGTTGTAGAAAATGTAGTAAAAAGGTTTGGATTTACATGGGATATGTGATGCTATATAGGTGGCGGGCTTGCCGGCCACTACAACTTTATATGTTTGTCTGATAGTAATGCATGCAGGGGATAGCTTAAAGGACAAAGGGGTGATCATGCCGCCAGAAAACATTGACTCCTGTTCTTTCTCGTTGCAGAGTATTATTGCTGGGTTAGGTTCATCTTTTGTTCACAAATATCAAATCTTGATCTACTTCCAGATAGACCCTAAATGCTGAATCTCAATATTTTATTCAATGCAACATATTAAGCACACTTTGAGTAATTTTTCAGGGAAGTTCTAATGAGAAAAAGAAAAAGAAAAGTAGAAAAAATAATAATTCTTTATATAAGTTAATAATAACTTATTTTTTAAAATTTTAAAAAAATTAAATATGAAAGCTTTTTAAAAAGTAGAAAAACATTAGTTGATTCTAAGTTGTGAAAAAATATATTTATTTATTAATTTTTCACTCATATAAGTAAGTTTAAAAACACATTAAGAAATTCATAATACGAATTTAACTTTAAAGTTACAACAATTAAGTAAACATGAATCCATATACATTATACCAAGAATTAAATATATTCTAACCATTTGAAGAAAATCGAACTTACTCAAATACTTTTTTTAATTTCATATTTTATCAAAATTTTTAAATTCTTTTAAATGATTTTTTTTTTAAATTTTGGTTCTTCCTTTTCACAAATTTTTATTTTTAATCTCTATTACAAATTTTGTTCACCAAAATGTTAAATGTTAATTTTTAATTAGACTAATCCAATTAAAGAGACTAGAAATAATAATTTGCTAAAATATAAGAAAAAAAATTCATTTATAAGAATTAAAATAAAAAATCCACTTAAAATATCAGAATTAAAAACATTTAAACTTATTTCTTATCTAAGATCATCAACATCTGCATATTACATTATGCATGTCTAATTAAGTTAACTGATCTATGCATTTGGTGATAACATAAATTATTTTAATTGATTAGTCAATAGTTATTTTTTCAAATAATAAAATTTGCATTTAAGAGTGTTGAAACAAATAATTTATATGAAATAGGGATGAAAAATTTTGAGACCAAAACAGGCACAAGCCTTACCAAAAATGTAGACTTCAGCAGCAAACAATAAAGTGAAATTTCTGTAGACCAAATTCCGATTGCTGGATTTAGACAACACAAGTATGCAGCGATTAAACAGTGTCATTCATGTAAACAGAAGGTCTTTTCTCTATCTAACAATAGTATCTGTCCACCGTTACTCCCTCTATCATTGACAATCTCCAATTCAGTCGCTACTATTTGCCTTAAACCCCATCTCCATCACATGATGCCACCATACCTCAACTTCTTGCTGCTGCAACATCAACATTGGCACCATAACAGACAACTTTTGTTTCCTTTTTTGGGTCCAAACAGACAATTTCTGTTGAACGTCCTCAGTCCTCACTTTTTGGTTAAAAGGCTGCTAAGTAGTAGGCCCATTGATTTTTTTTGGGCCCAACATAGAACACTAGAACTTAAGAAGACTTAGAAGCAACATGATTACAAATATATAGTAGCAAATTTAATTGTGAAATGAGGAGTTATGAGCGTTCTTTGCTTTCCCAACCGCTACGAGGCCTGCCAGAAAATCTTTATAATCCTTCAGGTATGCTTTGCATTACATGCACACTGGTATAAGCACAAACAATGATACTTTCCAATTGAATGCAGTAAATGAATGTGATTACACAAACAGTAGTCAGATCAGAATCTAATGTAATAAAAGCAAGGATCCATCAAAGAATTAGTGAGCGGGGTGTAAAATGTCATGAAACATATTCTTCAGCTCCGGAGTCACTTTTATGCAGTAACATGTGCATCCTATTTGCCACGCAAGGCAATTAACACACGGCTTCAAATCAAAGTATCCAACATCTACATGCTTGCGGATCCTGAGGCCCTTCAAACCATCTATCCCATAAGACATTTACAGGTCCATGTACTCTGTTATTAGAGAGAATTAATGAGTATTGGACTACACCTACAAGCAATAATGAATACAAAGTAAATATATAGGTAATAGAAATTACTCTGGGAGCAGTGGATCAGGCTTACTTTCCATGTTTTGTAGCAAGCTGCACTATGTGAAATGAAATTGTTTAAGCCTCATAGCATATTGTAGCACAAGACTAACAAGATAAACTTTTAGGCAAGGCTAATGAAAAAATCGTGCTGGGTGCTTTTTAGCTTCCCAGTTGACAAAAGGGTCCATCAACAGAGAAACAACAACCTACACCTTGCTCACTGAATGGGAAAATCCAACTAGAATTTATCTATTTCAGATGTTCGAATCAATATGCAATTCTCCCATAAGCAATATATCAGGATTTTCTACTTTATTCTTTAACAGAGAAGAAAAACAATTGTTCAGTCAGGACTTACTCCATGCATATGGTTGACACATTTTCTGCTTTCTCAAGCTCCTCCAATTCTTCCTGCATTCAATTTAAGAAAAGAGAATGAAAAACAAATGACAAATGCATGAAATACGGTAAGAGAGATAATTTGCTTTTCACAGAAGTTAACTATTGACATACACTAAAAGAAAGCACTCAACTTTGCAAAAGGGCTTAACATTGATTTGAGCAACTAGAAAAGCGAAGCAATATATCCCTTTATTAGATATTTACATCTATGACACAAGACAGAAAAGCGTGAGCCTTAAGTCAAAATGGCAGGTTAAAAAAAACCGTTTTCTGTTCTCATTTTGTTTTCACAAATAAGTAGAAAAAAGCTACCATGTTTTCACTTTGTTTTGTTCTTAAAAATTTGTATAGAAAACAGTGGAAACGAGATTTTTGTTGTTTTTCACTGTTTCCTTTACAAGTCTTTGAAAGGAAAATAAACAAAGTAAAAATAGAGTAGTATTTCCTAAATTATTTGTAAAATTAAGAAATGAAAAGTGAATTTTCTCAAACCAAACATGTATTACATAACTGAACCATGTCCAAATGTACTTCTGCTAGGAAGTCATAAAATAGGCATTTGACAGATAATTTTTCCTTCACTACAAGTTATTCTACTTTAATTTTCCCATCTTATTATAACTTTAAAGGAACAGGAAAAAGGCAGCCAAAATTTCAAGTACTGGCTCAGACTTGTCAGAAAGAAAACAATTCATTGGTTCTAAATATGTTTGAACTTTGAAGAAAATTTTTGGAATGAACTGTCCATATCCACTGGAAGACACATGCAATCATGCATTATGCATCCAAGCTCTTCTTGACTTAGAGGGTCATGCTTTTTCTTCAATTTGCAATGCAACTAGTAGCACACATACTGAGAAAGAATGTGGAACATTATATGAAAGCTCTGAAATTGATTAACTTGTGAAACTAATTTGATAAGGTCTAAAGGACTTTACCCATCTTTCCCATCCCATGTAAGTAACTGTATGTATTGATATTTATGAGCAGTTTAATAAGGAAATGAATTGCTGCCATCACAGGAGACCCAAATCTCTCTCTATATTTTTTAAAGAGAGTGAGAATGGCTATTACACACTAGAATCACCAGGGAAAGAGCGTTAATTATTGAGGATATTTTGCAATAATTTATCCATCATGGAACAACCAACAGGAGAATTCCTTATATGTGTTTAAAAATATCTAAACAAGGAAATTCCTAAAGAACTGCTGCTATAGACAGCAGCAGTGACTTGGAATTCCAAAATTAACAAACAAGGGAGGGATTTGCAACTCACCAGATGCCTATCTAAATCCCTATAGAGAAAGATTCAGAGGATACAGTATGATCATGAACTTAATCACTTCACTTTCAAAATAGATGTTAGTTGGCTGTTACTTTCAACTTTCTATCAATGAACCCGTGTTATCAACATAAACAATGTTCAGGACAAGAGAATTTTTTGAGAACAAACTATAGTTCTGAAGGAAAGGAAGGGGAAATTGTAAATGGCACGCATTGCTAAAACTAAGGCCAGTGACTAGAGGAAGCAAAACAAGATACTTGAGCCCAATTAGTCAGCCTGGTTTTGTTGAGGTAGCAAATGTGAGTGAAGAAGCTATTCGTTGTGGAAGAATGAAGAAGTTGAGGCAACATATAAGGCATAAGGACTCACAATCTAAAAGCCTTAAAGTTTTGGGTTAGATTCGGTATCCAAGTTTACTTTTATGGTTTGTTTGTAGTTTATTGATGAAGATTTCTCTGATATTGTAAGCCCCCTTTAAGCTCTAACAGGTTTTGACTTCGTGCTAGATTATGCTGAGCCAAAAAAAGCCCCCTTCTTATCCAGGCCGTAAAATAGAAATTCAATCCAATCCCAATTACATTTTACATTTAAACTCAAAATTTATTCAGGCATAACCTTTAAAACTCACCCTATGTTTCAGAATATTTAATCGTACCAGCTCGACAAATGATGGTAAGATCATAACCCAGAAACCAAATCAAAATGGGGTTCCTATGCCAACCAAAATCCAAACTTTCCATATTTACACGTACACATAAATATCGTTTAATAGTCTATGTTGATCAAAATTCAACATCCGCATGCGCACCATAGAAAACCACTGTCAGAAATTGCTATAAATCAAACTCTACACAAATTCTACAACATTTTTTTGCACTAATCAGTTCCACTATTTCAAGTAGAAGTCTTATCTCAGTTCCATTAAACAAGCGAGCAAATGGAAATCGTAGCAAAGCAAGCAACATTTTTAAAATGGAATTCTTTTTGAAAAAAGAAACTTTTAACTAACCTGAAGAAACTTGGAGTCTTGGTCAAGACGCTTCAATTCGGCTAGAATCCGGTGCTTGCCCCTTTTATCAGTGGCTCCTGTTCCTGCAACTGCAACTGAAACAACAACGGTTTCTTCATCCGCAGACGACGCCGTTTCAGACGCCATAAGGATTAACTAGCACTCATCCAGCAAAATACTACCCTCACCCACCTCACTTCTGCTTTATACGACACAGATCTGAAACACTATGCAACAAAAATAGCCATCACAGACTCTGAGAGTGCTTTGTTTATACTATAAATGAAAAAAGCGTTATTTCTTTGTGTGCGGACTCATGGAAGTATAAGCATGAAAAAGCGAGCCTTTTTTCTCTCTTGCTGTCTTTTTCATGCCTTTAAACTCTTCTCAGTACTAACCATTAAGAAGACACTGCTGCGAAGTTGTTCCTCTTCTCTTCCCTTATTTTTCTTTTGTTTTCTTCCCAATTCATATGACTCTCGGTCACCCCATTTCACAAGAGTATGCCAACAACTTGGATAATGAAACGATACCACACCACTGGTTAACTACTAATTAATTCAAGGATTACATATTAATTTTTTTTAGTAGTTTTATTCTTCTTCTTATTAAACTTGTGCTGAGACTGAGATTGTCAAATTGTTACAGTAGTTCCTTTTTTTAGAATTTGTGTGCCAGTTCGAGTAACTTACTTATTTAATATTATGTCAGGATTTTAGATTTATTATTATTTTATTTATATAATTTATATTTTTTTAACATGCTTGTGTAAGACTTGTTTTTTCAACTTGGTCTTGAGTGACTCGGTCTAATTGTGACTTATCTTTAACATTTAATTTGCACTTTGTGTTTGAGTTTGAACTTAAAAAACTATGAGTTATGCTTTCATATAATAAAGAGGATGGAAATTAATCAAATTTAATATTTATAATTATTTTGAAAAATATAATATCATCTATTAAAATAAAATTATTTAAAAGAGTGACAATTAATTTTTTAAACTTAATTTACTTAATAAGGCATTTTAATTTAACAGTTAAGATTAAATTCGTTTTTTTCTAAATTTTTTTAATATTTTAGTAACTTATTTTTAATAAAAATATTAAATTTTAAATATTTAAACTCATCTTTTAGAATTGAGATTAACATTTTTTTTCATTTATCCTTTTTTCTCTCTTATAAGATAATATTATATTAAAATTTGTACGTTGAACCTTATCTAATAATGTGGGACAGAGATTTTAGCTTAAGTATTTTATTTATTTAAAAACAACTTAACACTTTTTAACTTTGATACTTATGTATTCTTTTATTAACTTTAATATATTATTATGATCGAAACTTGTTCTTCAATACATTTTTCAATACCGAGGGAACCTCAATACTCTTCTTCCACTGCTAAAGTGCTAATTGCATGGAACATGTCGTTCAGCGTCCCTCTTTTTCTCTCATCTTCATTGAAGGGAAAACTCAGCATCACACCTACTTTGTGTAGGCCAAATAAATTGAACAAAAGCTTTTGTCATTCTCAATTTTTTTTTTCCCGTTTTGGTTCTCCGACAATGACAATCACATTTTTCAAATGAATATAACACTTTTAAAGGTAATATTTCTTAAAGTTAAGAACTTTCACCTGAACAAAACTGTGTCAATTAGAACAAACAGGCAACAGCTACGAACAATACGATAAAATGTCTTTAATACAATTGAAAAAAAAAAGGAATAACCCGGAGGAATAAAATATAATGCAGTTAGACTGGCTCGCCTAAGACATCTTTCTTGTCAATTTTGAAGCATATAAACTAACGAGATGTGCTTAAATAAACACTATTATTTCATCAAACGCATATATTACAACGGGGTCATCATGCAATGTACACCCTGGCTTTGCAAAAATAATCAAAGAGGAACCAAATTCTCTTCACTCCTTATTTTATTACTTTCCTCTTAGACAATTACAAAACCAACAAAACAGCTAGAATCTCCCGAGTCTGATCCTTCATTTCAATTGAACATCATTCGAATTTTTTAGCTCCAAAGTTGGCCATTGACGATTATTCCTTTCATCAAAATTCGTAGTGTCAACATTGGTAGTCTCAAGTCTCTCTCCATCGCCCCACAATGCATAGGCAACCTCACCATGCACAGCATCATCCCCAACATGCAAGTCATCTTCGGATAACCTCAATGGAACTATGGTCCTAACCAAGAGACACACAATGGTAGTAGTGGTGACATTGAGAAGTATCACAAAAACAATGCCAAGGAACTGAACCCCCATTTGCTTGAACCCTGCCTTGGCCCTCCCTGTCAATATGCCATAAGCAAGGCCAGTATAGTGTTGCCAATCTTGTACCTGATAGAAGAGACGGCAAAGCTTAGGGTCAGCAAAGAAGCCAGCTAGAATGCCACCTAAGCAACCAGCCACAGCATGGGTGTGGAATATTGCCATAGTATCATCCACCTGTTTTAGGAGCTTAATTTCTTTGTGGAGGACCATCATTGTGTACCATGGGATGCTTCCAGACATCATTCCCATTATCATTGCTGCCCAACCTTGCACCACACCTAACAAAATAATTTTAGTAGCAATATTTCGTAATTTCAAATTACCTAACAAAATAACTTGTCATAATGTTTCTTAAATTTTATTATTATGATTATGTTAAATTACCAGCTGCTGGTGTGATGCAAACCAAGCCAGTGATCATGCCTTGAGTGGCTCCAATCACAGAAGGCTTTCCAAAGAAGAGGATGTCAAGGAGAAGCCAAGTCAACAAGCTCATGGCCGTGCACACGTGGGTGTTAAGGACGGCAAGAGATGCATCTATGCTCACTGTGTAAGGATCTCCACCGTTGAATCCAGTCCATCCCATCCATAGTAAGCCAGCCCCAGCCAGCATTAGAAGTATGTTGTTTGGAGGAAACCTCTCTCTATCCTTCATTGCCCTTGGTCCAACCTGCAAACAAACCCTGAAGTATATTACAGCGATATTATGTATGAATCATATTAAAAGCATAAATTTAATACAGAAGTTATAAATATAAAATTATATGTATTTTAATGTAAAACTAATTTAACAAAACATGCTATTCGTTTATATATATATATATATATATATATATATATATATATATATATATAGGTAAACTTAAACTTGATCAATACGTTTATCTAAAATTTTTAACAAATTAAATTCATTCTCTTATTTATTATATATGTATGTGGTTAAAATACTAACGTATAAGACTTTATTATGTAAGAAAACATGATGCAAATGAATGAAAAAGTGATATAATATATAATACCCAGGATGCTGCGGTGAAACCGGCTACCCCAGAAGAAAGGTGAACAACAAAGCCACCAGAATAATCAATGAGACCCATCTTGAATAACCATCCATCAGTGCTCCATATACTGAAGGCACAAACGGTGTAAGAGAAGGTGAGCCAGAGAGGAACAAACAACATCCACGCATGAAGGTTCATTCTCCCAAGCAACGCTCCTGCTATGAGAATCAACGTGATAGCCGCGAAAACCAACTGAAAGTAAACCATGGTGGCATTGGGAAAGTTCCCTGAAAAAGCTTGGCGCAGAAGGAATTTCTGATCCAAGGCCACGTTTGGACGACCCAGAAACGGAAAAATCCTCTCACCGAACGACATTTGGTAGCACCACCCCACCCAACAAACCAAAACCGCAGCAAATGCGTACAGTGCCATGAATGCCGAGTTCAAGGCCCATTTCTTTTTAACTATGCTACCGTAGAGTATAACAAGACCCGGAACACTTTGGAGCCCAACAAGAGTAGCTGCCGTTAGCTGCCACGTGTTATCCCCCTTGTTCATCCATTCGGGGCTTGTTTCATCTGGCACTAGGCTTGATGGTAGTAGCCGATTCATTCAGGAATCACGCGTCCAATGATGGAGAAGAAGATACAACTGAATCATGGCCTGTGAATACTTTTAGTGAAATGCATGGACTATTTGTCGTTTTCCTGTGTTAACGTCATCGTTTTGTGTTGTGGATTTCACAACAAAGCTTGTTCATTTTGGCGTAAAGCGTCTACGTTTGTTCATATTGGGTTCGGAGAATCCAACGCCACACTTGTCAAAGCAATGGAATGCCCGTCGTTTCCTATGCTTTGAATCCTGCCCAACCCTTTGCTTTGTCCTTTCGCAAACGTTGTATAATATTTCATTTAAACTATACAAAAAGTTTATCATTATATGAAACGATTATAATAATTTAAACTGTTATGCTCTGATCATCACATGAGTTGGGAGTTTGTATCCAATAGGCGATTCTGAGGCGTATCTAATTAAAACCCGTCATATATTTTTTAAATGCTTAACTAAGCAGCAAGAGAGTGACACTCCTAACAATACATGCAAAAGGGAAAAAGTATCGTCTTTTCAGATATTAGGCAATGGGGCGGGTTAGAGGCTCCCTCCATTATCGTCCTCGTCAAAGACCAGACGGGTTAAGAGGAGCGGTGATAAAATATTCAAACCTAACCTCCTCTTTACAAAACCCATTCTTCATTTTTTCAAAATAAAGTATTTATTATTTACATTTTAATTCAAATAAATAAAGAGCAAAAAATGTTTAAAGTAAACTGTAAAACGAAAAATGGCATTGCATATTACAGTTTTTATTACTAAAATTAAATAAAATCAAATTATAATAAATGTTTTTATTTTTTATTGTTATTTGATATATTTTTTCTCAATTTTATTATAATGATACATAATTATATAATACATTACATCTATTTCATTAAAAATTTTATTTTTTGCCAATTGAATTTTTTTCTTTTTTATCGAAAAATCTATCGTCCTTTCATGATTTTGTTTTTTTAGTAAATGTTTTTCTATCTATTTTTAATTTTTTTAAAAATAAATTCATTTAATTTTTAAGTTAGATAAAAATCAAATTTAAAATCATATAAAAATAAATATATTTTTTAAAATAAATAAAACTAAATCATATATTATTTTATCTGATAAATTTTGAATAAATATTAAATTAAATTAGATTAAACTGTAAACACCCATAATAAAAATATTTTTCTACATTTATTCAAGGCGATCATTGACAGAGCCAGCCACCAATGGCCTAAATATATCCATAAAATTTAAGATTTTGACTATTAAATTTAAAGTTTAAATAAAATTTATTTTTAAAAAACTAACTGGGCATTATAAATTTATTATTATTAGTTCATCTTTCTTACTTAAAATTTAATTTTTTGTAATATTTTTATTTAAATTATTATTTTATCATCAGTATATTTTTATTATAAATTACACCAGTTACCCGGATTTAAATTGTCATTTAAAAGTTTAAATATATAGGTTTTAATTAAATTTTGTCATACACTACCTGAGTAGCATTAAATTAAAATTTAAAATAAATAATTAAAAATATAATTATATAAAAATTTTAAAATTTAAATAAATACATAACTAATACTGTATTAAAAATGAAATATATAATATAAAAATAGCTTGACATGACAAAAAGAAGTAAGTTTTAAAAATACTTTTATATGAAAAATTATTCTAAAAATATTTATATTTAAAAACACTCTAAAATTATTCTGATTATTACATTCAATTTACATGCACAGGTGAGTTGGGTTAGATATTTTGATTCTGAGTTGACACACAAATCTACTGACAGACCTTGGGGTGATTCAGACATGGCGGGTTCATGAGTAGGTGTGTATGCTTTCAATACAGATATCACCACTTAGTTGACTCAAATTAGACAAACAAAAATTGAAGTTCTAACAAATCAAATTACTAAGTTTTTACATAAACAATATCAAAATACTAACTGATAAGTTTGTGCGAGACACGTTACAGTAATAGAAATAACAGTAAAAGACGTAGGTGGCACGGGTTCAGCGAGTGGTGAGAAATGAATTGCAATTAGTATTTTGTGAGAGCGACACCAAATTCAACTGCAAAACCCCAATTACATTCAATACAAGGTTGTGTGTGGATGTGGTCCTCTTTCTTCCTCTATCTCACATAAGCTTCATTTTTCTGCTAATATTTTCCATTCTTTTTTTTAAGATAATAACTCTCCCTTTAACTCGTTGTGAGGTAAACTTCACACTTTGAGTCTTGAATTGAACTCCTTTGTGTTTTTTGTAGATTGATTCAATGGCTTCAGTAATGCTCAGTGGAACTGAAAAGCTTACTCTCTTCAATTTCAGAACCCTAAACGGAAACGCGTTGGGTTTCACCGGTTCCGACTTGCACGGTAAGGGCTTTCCCAAAATGAGTTTAGTGGGTAATACGAGAAATAGGTTTCCCAATTCTAGGAACACAGTGGGACCCACTTGTAGTGTCTCTGCTTCGAGGCCAACCTCGCAGCCAAGGTTCATACAGCACAAGAAAGAGGCGTTTTGGTTCTACAGGTTCCTCTCAATTGTGTATGACCATGTCATAAACCCTGGCCATTGGACTGAGGATATGAGGGATGAAGCTCTTGAACCTGCTGATCTCAGTGATCGGAACATGATTGTTGTGGATGTTGGTGGTGGCACGGGTTTCACCACATTGGGTATTGTTAAACATGTGGATGCAAAGAATGTCACCATTCTTGATCAGTCTCCTCATCAGCTTGCTAAGGCCAAGCAGAAGGAACCGTTGAAAGAATGCAAGATAATTGAAGGGGATGCCGAAGATCTTCCCTTTCGAACTGATTATGCCGATAGATATGTTTCCGCTGGAAGGTACTGCTCTGTCAAGTTTGCATTACCGTGCTCTAGTTGCCTTGCATTTCAATTTATTCAGTGACATACACTTAAAGTTGCTTTACAGTATGGCTGTTAATGTATATGTGCTGTTTTGATATAATATAAAAGAGGTGATGGATGATGATGGTGTGTTTCATTTCTCAGTATTGAATACTGGCCGGATCCGCAGCGTGGCATCAAGGAAGCGTACAGGGTCTTGAAACTTGGAGGCAAAGCGTGTTTGATTGGCCCGGTTTACCCAACATTTTGGTTGTCACGTTTCTTTGCAGATGTTTGGATGCTTTTCCCCAAGGAGGAAGAGTATATTGAGTGGTTTGAAAAGGCAGGATTTAAGGATGTCCAACTAAAAAGGATTGGACCAAAATGGTATCGTGGGGTTCGCCGTCATGGCTTGATTATGGGTTGTTCAGTGACTGGTGTTAAGCCTGCTTCTGGAGATTCTCCTTTGCAGGTATCTGTTGTCTTAGCTTCCCAATCTAAATTTTGTTGTATGTTTGCCCTTGTTTTCTTCGTGGGATTTGTTGTTGCTTTATTTTAATTCAAATCATTGGCAGGATGTATGTGGCCTTATCTCTCTCCTTGATGGCGTGTGTTTGTTTTGTGCTATGATACATCATACCATTTTATTATTTACTGAACATAAACAAAGTAGACACTTAACTTGGACAATGAACAGCAGAGTGGACACCCTCACACTGGCGGTTTTTACATATATAACACTAGAATTTGCCTCTTGCAAGATGTGGCTCGTATTGATGTTTTAGGAACTTGAAATATTGGTTACCCCTTCTTTTCCTGATTACTTGAGCACCTTCGAGAATATATCCTCTATTTTATGATTTAGATCCCTTTTTTGTTCTGTTCATACTTAAAAGTTTATTTGTGAACACTGGCCCAGAATTGTTTGTCTTTCCTTTGAAAATGATTCTTTCATATCTCAAAAAGAAAATAGAGGATCCAAATCCGATTAGGTGTAGGCTAAGCTTACAAAGTCAGTTGACTCTGTGGTGATGATCTTGAAAATGTAAGCAGCAACATGGACTTGTGAACAAAGCACTACTGTTTGTAGCTAGAACTAGAATTTATAAAGCTCCTACCCAAGAATACTATATCTTGGCCATTGAATATGAAAAACCATTTCAAACACTATAATATTAGTGCATATGTACTAATGAGATTTTTAATTAAATTTCTGTTGCTTTGTACCATGAATATGTACATATTTGATATTTGATCAGGCTGTTGTGCACTTGTGCTTAAAAGACGACTGGTCATATCCTGATATGGAAATAATATATAACATGGAAACAGTTGACTGTTGAGAAGTGTCAATGAACCGAAATGAAAGGTGAAAAGAAAATAACTACACAGTAAGTATGATTAACTAACTGATGTGTCTGATTTTACTGGTTACTTTCAGTTAGGTCAGGTTTCACATTTTCTTTTCAACTCTCAAAGGTTCTCATTCTTTTAATAAATTGAAGTTAAATAGAACAATACAGATTTTGATTACAAAATTATTGTACATAGGATGGCAAATGTGCTGGGTTTTTTCAATTGAATGTTATCTTTAAGTTGTTTGTTTGAATGATATATCACTTTGGCTTAGAATCTGAATTACCAATAAAGAACTAACGTTTTACCTGTGTTTGCCTCTGCCAAACATTGGATTCTTGCTTCACTGCAGAATGACTATTCAGCTTAATAATGTGACGTTTTATTGAATATGTTAATTGTTTGCAAAGAACTCACATTATTATTCCCTTGAAATTGCAAAATGGCAAGCATTGGTGTATTTCCTTTTCATAGCTTCACAAGAGGGAGCAACAAATAAAGTGTGCTGATTGACTTTGGTTTATACTATTTACTGCAGCTCGGTCCAAAGGAAGAAGATGTTCAAAAGCCTGTGAATCCTTTTGTCTTCTTACTGCGCTTCGTTTTGGGTGCCTTGGCAGCTACATGGTTTGTATTGGTTCCTATTTACATGTGGCTCAAAGATCAAATTGTTCCCAAAGGTCAGCCAATCTGAGAGATATTTGTTGTTAGTAAACCTTCTGATACTATCAGTTTCTTGTTCAAAATTTCATAAAATGTACTATTATTATGCACGCAATTGAGAAATATCTTTTAATATCAAACCTCAGTTAGTTTGCTGCCAAATTGAGCTCAGTTTTTCTGTGGATTTTTGCTATGATAATTTTGAGTGGGAGGGCCTAATGCAATGTAACCATTTTACACGTCTACATGTTATTTCGTTCTGTGTCCATCAGCATTCGTCAGTTATAAGAGGTCAACTATTCCAACATTACTGTATGTAATGATCATATAAGGACATCGTTAAACTGCGATGGTTGTTCAGAGGATGGCTTCCCTCTTTCTTTTCTCCGACTGATATGAATCCAAGATGCCACTATATAGTTCATATCAGCTGTTGAAGGAGAAGCTATTAAGGAAGATATGCACTATAACAAAATCTATGAGCTGATTGTTTGACATTACTTCTGCTTCTACAGCTATGAGTGAGATAAAACAGACAAGAAATAGAGCATGGAAACTCACCATGAGTGGAGGCTATGACTCTGCCTTTCAACAAACCTTTGGTCTACCCAAACCTTATACTTGTGGTGTGAGAAGGAAGCAAGGAAGAGCTTCGTGTAAACCAAATTTGGGCCAAGTCAAAAGCTCAAGTATGGGCCTAGCCTACTCGAGTATTTTATTTATGGATTTTAACCTCAGCTCTAAGCATTTATAAATAAAAAAATTTTATAAAAAAAATACACAGTTATTATATTTTTATAATTTTAATATAATAACTGCATATTTTTTTATAATTTTTTTTTATTTATAGACAGGTTAACAACATTCTTTATTTATATATATAAAAAAGAACTTAAGTCAATTTTTTAACATACTTGTCATCAAATTCTCAGCTTAAATAACGTTACATTGACACTTCAAAAATGGCAATATACATAGGAGAGATTATTTTATGTTAAAAAAAAATATTCACGTCACTGATTTATTTAAAGAACTTTTATGATAAAGGTGCAAGAAATTTGATTTTAAATTTATCCTTTATTAATTATTTAACAATAAGAATATGTAGGGGCTTAGGTACCTCCATACCCACAAATAGAATTACCAACCAAATGTGGAGAAAAAGCTAGCAATTATGTACGTACTAGTGGAAACCAATTCATTGTAAAGCTAGCATGTGAGGATGATCGTAGTGAGTTAAGGTTTTTTATTTTTATTTTTTGTGCGTAAAAGTTGAGTTTAAATAAGATATTGGGGTATCTGTTCATACATGCGTTTAAGAAAAAGACATATTTGCACGGTTGCAATGTATCCTGATTAATTAAGTAGAACATGCTTAGCTTTTAGTATATATAGTTAAACGATAATGTCATTATAATACCAAAACTAAGACAAACCAATATAATAAACATGCAATTATATAATTATTTATTATATACATGCGACTGCGCTCGTGTGTAGACCCAATAAATTTATTTGATGTAGATAATTTTAGTGAATACTCATTAAATGCATGTCCAATTCCCTTCCTTACTTGCATAGGGGTTGCAAATACGCGATTCCTTGGTGGTGAGTGTTAAATTGTAGTTTGGAGGTGCGACAAGAAAGAAGCCTCGTTGAAAAATTCGTACATTCAATAGTCGATTCCTAACACCCTTCTGGAAAAATTCTATGATTTTGAATTAGAAATTCTCCATCAAACGTGCTTTGACTATTTCAATTTAAATAAAAAATTCCCCATACACATCTATAAAAGTAAAATGAAGCAGGAACACAGTATTATAACACAAAAATTGCTCTCCCACAATCCTCCATTGGCAATAAGCAATTTACACTACTAGTATTTCCTGATTTCCACTTCAATTGAGCCTGCTGCAGCAAATAATGGCAGATGCATGGACAGAAGATCAAATAGCTATATTCCGTGAAGCCTTTCACGTCATTGACAAGGACTCAGACGGTGTGGTCTTTTGCACCTAATTAATCCATGTTGAGTTCTAAATAAATGTTGATTTTTCAATTAATATCCACCATTGGCTCATTTTGGTGGTTTTATAAAGGCCATTTTTAGTTGACTTCGATTCATGAAAATGTTTGTGATTCCTAGGATTCATTACTGTGGACGAATTGATAACCATTTTCCATTCATTAGATGGGAATCCAACAAAACAAGAAATTCAAAATATGATTAGTGAAGTCGATATTGATGGAAATGGGTGGGTAGATTTTGAAGAGTTCTTCAACATTATGGGAGCAAAAATGAAGGTAAGAAATAGAAAGAAAAAGGGAAATGGGGGGATAAAAGGTTAACTCTTAAGTAAGGCTATAATGTTAATTGTCAATTTTGTTAGGAAAACCTGACTGAGGAGCTAAAAGACGCATTCAAAGTATTTGATAGGAATAATGATGGATATATATCAGCCAATGAGGTAACCTACAACATGCCATGCAACTCTATCTGCATTTCAGCACCTTTCATGCATCCTCTAAATAACTCTCAATTCCATATATTTTATATAGTATCTGTTCAGTTTAAAGTTACGTAAAATTGATTTTAGACTGTTATATAAATTAATTTGGATAATATAATTTTATTAACATGTATTTTTTTAGTGATATAATTGATTATTTAATTATAAAATAAATAATTCCATAATCATGTAGCATTTATAAACAAAGAGAATTTTTCTTTACTAATTCTTGCGAAACATCGTGACTAGAAAGAGACAATTTTGATGTTTTATAGCTGAGACACGTGATGATGAAACTGGGAGAGAGGCTGACAGATGAAGAAGTTGAACAAATGATTAGAGAAGCAGATTTGGATGGAGATGGTCGAGTTAGCTATGAAGAATTTGAAAAGTTGATGACACTAAATTGATAGATTTCATTTGAATTTGCAAGTCTGAGGACACAGTTACTTGTTGGTGGAACCATTGACATTTTCTTCAAACTATTCTTTTCCTTTGTATTATTATCACATAATAATGTTGAATTGTTGATTCCCTATGTTTCATCCTTGACTTCATGGTCTAATTACGCACGTGCCTTTTGTATTTTGTGTATCAAAGGTTAACTTAAAATGTGATGCACGTGTAATTTTCTATGTATACATAATTCAGATATAATTAATTAATGTAACTTTATAGGGAAAATACAATAACTTTGACTGTGAATTAGGGAGTTGGTAAAGTGAGTCATTTCTTAAATCAAAATGTTCAATTTTCCAATGTGTTTGTCATTTTCACCAAAAATTAATGGAATAAAAAAATGTACTATGGTACTTTCTTTTCTTTCATAGACTCTATCTTCATAGGATATCTTATTGAGCTTATTCGTAGGGCTGTTTCAACTATGAGATGCTCTCAAAAATTGCATTGTCGAAGTTTAAAATCGTATGTGACTTGTTTCTTCTTCAATTAAACATCGCTTAAAGAAATATTTTGATGTTCACAATTTAAAATATTAGTTGTTGAAATATGAGTCCTTACATAATCCATACACATTGTACAAACTTTTTAATAAAACTTTTTTTCCAAGCATTTCACACAATTTTAGAAGGAATAGTAAACTAACTCTTAATTTAAATATATCAATTTTTTATTATGTATAAAATTATACATGATATGAAGTTATGTATGATAATTTTTTATTATAAATTATAAAATTTAATGCATTGATACTATTAAATAATGCAATTTTTTATTAAAAAAATACTAGACTTAACTTCTTATCATATATAATTTTGTACATTTTAAAAAATGTCTAAACAATCTATTACACTTGCATTGAACTAGCATTGTTTAAGCTTTGAACTTTGTCAATAAAAATTAGAAAAGCCTATTTCTTGTCTAGGTTTTAAAATAGATACCAAATCTCGCATCTTGCAATTAAATAGAGTTAATTTTTTGATACATGGGAACAGGAAAACAACAACCAAGGGTAAAGGGTTGCAGGACCATCACATCCTGTGAATAAAACTAATTGAGGAAAGAAGGATACAAAGATCAAATCCTTAACCTCTTCAAATATTGCAACACTCTTTCATAGATAATTAGCCCACTAAAGCTATGTACCAAGGCTTATCTTTAAATTCTTGAATCTTTCTAATTAAGGCGTTATCGTTACACTGAATCAAGTGTAAAACAATTTGGAAGTCAAATTCACATATTAAAAATTGGAAGCTTTTGTACCATGCAATCTTTAGAACATTATAAATAACTTTATAGCATGAACTTATGCATGAAAGCATGTAGTACAGCCACAAAACTACAGAAACCGAGCTGCATGGATAATGTGGAGCCGACTAATACACCATGACAGTCTGGTGTTGTGTCTTGTGCTGATATACCAAATTAACCAAAACTTATGAAAAAAACTTCTTCACATTCCTGGCACTGGCAAACTATTATGAAAATGCACTTTTACTGTGTCGTATTTGCCTTAAGCCATTGAACCTGCCAAGAAGTTTGAAATTCAGTTCTAAAATAAAAAGCTAAATGAAAAGAACTCAAAGTAAATTCAGATGTAATACTTAAAACTCAGCCTTATAATTTGCTCAACTCAATTGACTCAATCCTCTTTTATCGACTTTGTGATCACTTAAATGAGATATGAAATTGAGTTTGATTCTACCAGTTCTTTAATGATATGACCAAGAATGCGAACACTAGTCATTTGATCAGGCAGGAATTAGTAAATACACATTTAGACTAATTAATTTTGGGTCAATATCTGTTACGGATTCAACATTCAGTTGTCACGACTTACTTGTGGAGTTGAAAGTTGAAACTTGTCGTCATTGCTCACGTCTCAGGGCTTCCCTACCATTCACAATTTACAGTTTTGGTTTCAGCAAGAATAATATATTTCAAATTTATTTAAGATTATTAAAATTCATTTTAGTTTTATAATTTTTTTTGATCTTTGCCAAAAAAACAAAAAATCAGGTTTAAAAAACATTATCTGATGAAGTATCACTTTGACACTTGTTCTCGTTTAATACTTTTTAAAATTATAATATTAACTAATATAACCATCGAATAATTATATATTATCTTTCGCATTTCTTTTTTGGCATATTCAATTAAGCTAAACATAGCGATTCATTACGTTAACGTTTCACGGGCTTTTACGTTGTATCAGTGTTTCTTGAAAGGAAATTGATTATTTTCACACTTCGCATAAATTAGGTGAAGAAAAATAATAAAGTAAAAATTGCGATAGAAAAAACACAAGAAAACAGACAATTTTTTTAAAAAAATGAACGTAATATAAAACACAGGTATAAAAAATAACAATTCTTTTTAAATTGATCAATTGTTTTAAAAGAATTACAACTATGTCAAAAAGTTAAATTAATCAGACAATGTACCGAGATTAACATCAACTCAAGTTCGTTAGGGTACTTTAAACGGCTTCAGTGTTCTAAACAACTCATTAGAGAACCTATTCTTAATCTCCAAGTCATATCTCCCATTATTAAAAAAGGCATTGGACCTCAGATTTATGAATAACGATTGTTATGTCTTTTCCTATATCTTTTAGGTACATCAATTTAGATTTAACGTAAATCATTTATGAACAATTAATATATAAACTACTGAGCCAAAAAACTGTACTCCATTGCATAAGAAAAACTACATTAACAGTCATTTGTGACCCAAAAAAAAATATTAATTTATATGTAAAGTAACAAAGTAGAGTTATATAACATTATGTGAAGCGACAATTAACATAAATTTGTGCTAATTCATTTGCACGGAAAGACACCACATATCTTATTCTATGTAGAGGTATATACCCCAAGCTAATAGAGATAAACTGTGTCTAATTTATAAACACAATACAATAAACAAATATTCAATTATAAGATTTGCTTCCCTGCTTTTCCACTCGTAGATTCTCTCAGAAAAATTATCTTCTATTCTCTCAAGCGAAGAAATCTATATACTCATAGTGCGCTAGCAGTCTCCACAGTACCCATCACACAGAAAGAACCAAAAGTTATCGTGTCATGCATATCCAGAAAATCTGGCAAATTGTAATCACATCACATAGTAACAGCAACAAGATGGAACAGTTATGTACGAAGTGATATAATAATAACGTTCTAATATATTTTTTCCTATCAAGTCCTGTATTGGCCTTTTTTTATCTATTACGCCTTATTTTTAATTCCCACTATTCCTTTCAAATTTCGCATCTTATTTCCCATCGCATTTTTCCTTCCATTTTTTTCATTATTTCCTGTCTTTATATATATTTTTTTCCTTTTCTCTAGGCAAGCTTTATATATTGACTGAACAACACGTGTTATTAGAGTTTGTGGATCGGAAATAGTAACATCTCATTAAGCTATTATTACGTGATGCATACAAGACGCTGAATGTAAATTTACATTACAAAATACATAATCCATTACTTAACGTGTGATATAGATAAAAGGTCACTCTTCACCAACTTATACACGACACAATGCACTATAAGTGAAGCTGACATAAACATGCCATTTCGGAAGAGCATCAACAGCATAACATTCATAAATTAAAAATAATTATAATTTAAATAGTCGTAAATTCATTTAAAACTCCAGATCAAACATGCATCGGAAAATTGTACGTTTCATGCCACTATTTAATGATGATGTAGCAACATCTATTGCAACGTTCACTGGCATTTTGAAACATGTATGCAAATACAGATTATTACATGTTCCCTAGCGACAGCCTTGGAGCATGACAGATCACTTTCATTCATGACAATTTAAACTTTAATAACAGTTAGTGTTAATTGCCAAAAACCAATAGTATAAACAATGCACACCTTTCAGGTTTTGTTGGAACCCTAAGCAAGTTAAGGAATAAAAAACCAAGGAGGCGTTGTAAACCTGCTCATCAAGGGGGAATATTTAAAAGGCAGATGAAAGTAAAAGGGAAAAGGTATGTTGCGTGCCTGCCATAATATAAGTGCAGAAAGAATATACTATGCTAACACAGTAATACAAGTCTTGAACAGTTATACTCACCTTTTGCTTTTAGCTAAGGTTAGTGGTAGAAGATTGGTAAGAGTCTATTGGTCTCCAAATAGGAAGGAGTGAGGCTAGCACAGCATGACCTAGTCAGGGTTAGCACTCTCTGGCTCCCACTAACCAAAGCTAGATCATGCTGGCAGCTTCACTTTTTCCCTTGTGATCTTTTTCCCCATAACATGGCTATGCTACATGCCTTAATCTCCGAGCTCAGCACTTATATATGTTTGGTCATTGTACAGAAAAAAAAAACATGGTAACAAACATTTGGAACCACAACAGACAAACTGAGGAATGTAGTTCAAACACAGAACTTACTCAAGGTGAAAAGAAAAAAATGCACTGTAATAATACTATAAAAGCTTGTTGGAGTGCACACAAATAAGAAATGAATTTACGAAACATGATAGAAAACTGATGCAATTAAGTGCCTTAATTAAAAAAGCTATGAAGTGTATGAAGGAACTTTAAGAAGAGGAGTAAGATGAAAAACTTAGAAGTTGAAGGGACTAAGGGGATTCAGATTCCAGTTAAAGATTGGCTTCCTTCCAAACTTGTAAGCCAGAAAATAACGAAATGAATAGGAGAGAGGGCAGAAAGTATAACGGAAACTCTACTTAGTACTACAACAATCAAAATAATCTTGATGGTATCGTAAAATATATATAGAAGAATCGGAAAATGGGAAGAGAGGGAAATAAAGGTGATCCTAGTTCAATAGAGACAACCCACCTTGTGTAACAGTGAATTAAAGAAAGTATCATACATGCACAGTAAAATGAAGAAGGAAAAATTCAAGAACACAGCTAAGAAAGTTTTGAAAGGGAACACGCATGATGAGTTGTCTTGGT